ATGTCTGGTGCAGTCCTTACTGATATCAAAATGACAACATGTGTATTATGATGTCATCCCCATGCAACCATGCAACTTCCCAAATGGATCGAAATGTCTGGCATCAGTACATAAGTCACCTCATTTGCATGATGATATATCTCTGTCGTCTATGCACGGATATACCTCATCCTTCTCAGAAGGTCCCTTGTTTTCATTAGCCATTGAAGAGCACACTGAATTTCATTTAAAAAAACAAAAACCTCTTTAATTCTTAGAAAGCTATTTTGGGATTCCAGCAATTTTTGAACAATGTGCTATTTCAAAAAGTATATGTGACGAGAGAGGGGAGGGAGGGAGGGAGGGAGAGGAGGGAATAATTTAAAGGAATCAGATTTATCGCTTCCATCACACTAAAAATTCCCATTTGGGGCAAATTTGGGAGGGGCTCGAGAATTATCTTCAAAAGTTTGGGGGGGAAATGCACACTGGAAACATTTTCCTTCTTTTGCCACCATATAAGAAAGGTGTATTTTACTCAAAAATGGAACGCTAATTTTTGAATGATGAAATCCTATGATTTTCCATGGAGTAATTAAGCTGCTCCAAACCTAATGTACACCAAGGATGCAGAGTCAACATTCCCAGTCCCAATCCTTGAATTCTGGAACCTGCCAACTCCAAGAAACAAGAAGCCAACAGGTATGGGGGGGGGCGGAGTCTCCAAATCCCAGCCAGTTGCATTCTGGGAATTTCATTAATTTATCTTACTATAGTAACCCATAACTCTCCGAAGCATCGCAATGGGAGCATCAGAAACATCACAATCAGAAGCATCACAATGGGGGCCGAAACAGGGAAGCAGGAGACAGGAGAATTCCTGAGATGGCTTCTGTCAAGCGTTAATTCAGATCTCAAGACTTGCTCTCAGTAACAAGATGGACAGTATATATAAACTGAATAAATAAAATAAATAAATAATCTGAAACAGGAGATTGTACCAATTTGCAGGTTTCAAATTTCATCCAAGAGATCTTTTCTTTTAATACACTTAATTAAAAAGGCATTTAATCAATGTGCAAGTAATTCCTGCCATTTTTTAATCAGAAACCTCAGTTAAATCATATTTCTGCCTACAAATGCTACTATTTCTCTTAGACACACAGGCTTGAAGATGCACTGAAATATTTCAGAACCAAAACTCTTATTAACTTAAAGTATAAAGGTCTGAATCAAGCATTTAAAAAGGCTTTTCCTTTTGAAGCCGTTAACTCATCATAATTGTATAGCAGTGTAAATGTCTTGAATTAAGCGAGCACATTTTTTAAAGTGAACAAAAATTATTGGTTTCAAAAAATAACGAGACAATTCAAGACAAATGTATTATTACTGCTGCTGTTTTACAACCTTGAAGCAAAGCCCGGTGGAACACAGAGAGAGGTATTTCTTAGCAGACATGCACTGAATTCTTCAGTAAATTAATATCCAAATATACATAACTGTACTAAAGGCTCAGTGTCATAGAATACAATGGACTTCGCTCTGATCAAACTCACTTTTAGGGAATGTTATATAAAATATTTAGAAAGAACAATGTCATCATCAACATCAAAAATTAGTGCTCCATTTTCAAATAAAACAGGAGTCCAGTCCAGCTACACAATGCTCTCATATGCACTGAAACTGATGTGATTTTTAAAAAGCTTCAGTAGATTGAGATTAATGTAATTTAATATGGCCAAGGCAATTGAGGGCTAAGGGTTCAGAGAGGGCCAGATGACGATTAGCTCTGAAAGGACAAGATCACAAGACTCCTAACTTACTGCCCATTTCAGCAAACTTTTCAATTAGTGGCCTCTCCCTGATGCTATTTTAATATGTTTTTTCTGAAATGATTTTCTGTAATTTCTCTCCCATCCGCCCCCCCCCTTGGAAACATACCGTGCTATTGTCAGCTTTAAAAAGAAGCAATTTTCTGACTTTTGAGATTGAGCAGGTCAAAGAAAAATTACTACTTAGGGAACCCTGTAATTAAATAGACCAGGCAGCTGCACTTATGAAGAACTAAATTTAAGTTTTATGCTATTAATACTTGATCGGGATGATTCGCTTGAGTTTTAAGATGAACTTTAATGTGCGTTCCTCTTCACCCTGAAAAAATGTTTTCTTTTTTGAAAAAAAGAAAAAAAAACCTATATGCATTTATGTGTATGCATTCAAGTGCATGTGTTCATATGTATGTGTGCCATCTTTTTTTAATATTGATTAGCTAATACTGAGATAATTGAGTAATATTGTTAATAAATATGTGTTCAGCACCACCTTCCACATTTTTACCACTGTATTACATAGAATTGTAAATTGGTGTAAAAATTGAAAAAAGGTGACAAGTTCTATAATACCTGTGTTATTTATAAAAAGAATAAACATTGCAATCATGATATAACAGACTGACCATGGATTCCTATAGAGATATAAGTGACCTGCAGTGTTACACATTAATCAGCACTAAAATCTACCTAGAAAAAAAGAAACACACCCTTACACTTTGAAACAATAAAAAAATGAACAGAGCATTTTCAAATGTCATTTTAATGTTTACAAATCAGCAGGGCTACATCAATTTTGTTTTGTGTGTGTTCTCCTTGCATGTTTATAAATAAAAAGTATTGCCCAATTCTTTAAGATAAATAAAGGAATGGTTATCAACAGTTCACAATAAGCAGTAGGGCAGAATGAAAGTAGAATTAGCAATAATAGTAATAGAAGATAGTAATCAGGCCTTGTTTTAAGTCAGACTATAATACTCTCAGCAATAACTATTTTGATACCAGAAATATTCTAAAGACCTGAAAATGTTGTCAAGAAAAGGAAGAGATATGGCTTTTTAAATTATGTGTTATTTTTCCCTATTGTCCTTGTGTTACAAGCATGCAAATCCATTGGGTTTTTGGGTTTGTTTGTTTTTTCAAAACACCACTTGGAATTAACTCTGTTTTGCCTTAATGGTGTCCTAAATACTATAGACACACAGAGATAAACAAGTTAGATAAGGCCTTCATAGCTATTTTTTTTAATCTACATACATGGGAGAAAAAGCAAAAGCAAAACATAAATGCATAATTTTAGTCCATCTTGGTTGTGTGATTTTTTTTTAGGAATACTTTGTTTTAAATGTTACCTTTGTCATTCCCCCCCCCTCCTTTAATTCAGAGGGTGATTAGGCTCATAGCTTACTTAGATCTAGGCAGGGGTCACCTTTAGGCTTAAAAAGTGAATCCAGTTTTTCAGAGATAACCAAAGTCTTAGAAATGCGACATTAAATGTGTGTGAACACAGTTTTAATTATATGTGTGTGTGTTTATGCACACACCCCACAAATATCCATCGCAGAATCTCAGGATACTTTCTGCTTTACTTTATAAACAGCTCAGTAACTTAATAATTTTTTTCAACACATGTGGTGCTGGAATTCTACCTTCCAGCTGCATTGATTCCATGGAGTAAAGAAAAACTGATCCATGAAGTTCCTATTTGCATAAAAGACAGAAACATCTGTTGCCAGCTTCTTGCTGGTAGATGTAGGCACCAGGGATCCTACAGTTGTTAATCTACCTTAATAATATTATATTCCCATGCTGTCACACAGCCATCCACTGTGAGGATTTTTTCCAAGGGTGGCCCACAGATAAATTCATTCAGAGAAAGCCTATTTTCCAAATGAGTCTAGAAACCACCTTGGTCTCCCTCTTAAAAATATAGCCATGGCAAGAATGATGACAATTTAAATCATAATTATGCACTGCCGTCAGTGCAGAGCAGGCATTTGTTTTCAACTATGGTCCAAAAGGGAGTGCTACTTTGCAAAAGAGCTATAAGGCATAGTCACGTTTGAGCCGTGGCTCAATCAATTTTTCACAATAGGATTGCATATTTTGGGAGTTGAAGAATGTAGCCAATTTTCATACATGTTTATTAAGCAAATGACCTGTTATAGGAAACAAGAGAAGTAGCAAAGTAGCATCTTAGTATCTCTGTAACTATCAAATACAGTTTTGTGATATTGTTACAGAAATCGTTTGTGGGCTCAGCTAGGGGTATACAGCTCCGTCTAAATCTGGTTTGTGTCACTGTCACAGGAACGGATGTAATATTTCATTCAATAACATTCTTTGCACATTTAAGCAACTACCACCACGACCACCACAGGAGTGAAAGATCATGTTTGCAATTTTTCTAAATATTTTTTTCCAGGTACATTTTTCCAAAAATATGTTGCTCTTTATGAATTTTTCTACAGAACAGAACAGAACTGCTAATGAAATCTATTTGTTAACACATTTCTGTGCACAACATTGCCACTTCTCTATGCACAATAGGCTTCATTTCAGTGTTTCCCACTGTTTTCATTCTTTAAAAACCTGCCGTGGTTTACTTCTATATTTCTAAATTCAGCTTTTATTTTTAGGTGCAAGACAAAGTCACATTTTGCTTTTTTTATTGTCTTTCCTTTCCGTTTTTCATTATGAGCTTTTAAAAATAATTTGTGAAATGCATTTAATCAATGCTTTAGTTCACTGACGAACTGGACTAGAAGAGACACTGGTCAAATCCTGTGGCCAAAAAGAAATCTTTTAAACTCTAATGCATACTTTGAAGTTCATAGATTATAATCTATGAAACTCCTATCTCCACTCAGAATTGGACTTGGATCTTCTCTTTTTTTAATTTAATTTAATTTAATTTAATTTTGAGAGGGATGTGTTTTGGGTCTTGAATGGTGCTTATTTTGGCTTAATTTTTATTAGGCCTACCAAATCTGAACTGCAAAAATCTGGAAGGCTGTTAAAAGATAACAAGAAGATACAGAAAACTCTAACTCTTTGTATCATCCCTATTTTTGTGTTGCTGGATGTTCAGTCCAAATTTATGCTTACAAAATAAGTCATATTCAAAATGGAATAATAATATAAATAATGCAAACTGAAGTAAGGTGATCAAAAAAAGACAGAGGAATGAGGCCATGTTAAAACCATTTATTTATTCATGTTTAAAACAGTGTTCTCTTATGCAGGCAGGAAGAAAAAAGAAATTCAAGGCTGTAATCAATTTTTTTAGCTCAATTGGTATTTCAGATTGGACTGGTTCCTGACTAAATTTACTACTTCTGAGGAAAATACATTTTCCTAAAATATATTTTCTAATACTGTATAAGATTGGTACCATATTAGGAGATAAACAATCAAACTAATTGTATACCCTTAGTCCTTACATGTTTGGGTGATACCGGACCATGAGACTAACTTTTAAGGAAACTACATCATGAATATAGACAGCCCTTCTGCATTCACAAGATAAAGAATACTAAATGTATGAATATCTCCACCACTTATATCACAGGTAATATTCAAGTTTTATGAAATAGTAAGATCTCTGGTTCAATGTATGTGTATCATGCATGAACAAAGTCCACTGCAGAATCAACATTTTACATGTAAACAGGAATTAATAGACATTCCAACATCCATAGCTTTATTCTACCAATGTGAAATATTAAGACTTCTTTTACACTTTTTGACTTAGAACAAAAGAAAGAGCAACTCATTACCTTATTCTATTAACAAACTATAGCTCCGCCACCATTAATGAGTACAGGACAAACCAATATTCCATTCCTATTACTACATACAGCATGCATTACATTACAATGTCTTTAATGTTATTTTATCCTCAGGTTCTTAGCAACTTTTAAGTTGTATTTTGTATCTTGTGGAACCTTTAATAAAACAATGCAATAAAGAAACAAGTGATCTTGTTTTGATAGCTTTTTTTTTTTTAAATAGAGCTTCTCTGGCATCGATTCATCAGTAAGCAGTAATCAGCTGGGAGGCTCCTTTGTAATTTTTCTGTTTCAGAAATAATATAGGAGTTTACTAACAGGAAGTTTGTGGGTAGAAACAGTAAACAGTCTCAAGGTCCATCTGTTATTATGGGATCCAAGAAAGTTGACACAGGATATTTGAAAGAGGGAAAGTCTATTCCTGTTATTTAGGGATCAGAGAACTTTGAAGGCAAAATAGTTTAAATATCAGTAATCAGCAACAATAACAGCAAAATACAGAATCTGGGTCTCCTTTTGAGTTTTAGGGATATTTTTTGTTTGTTTTGGCTTGTTTTGGAGGGTTTTTTTACTAAATTAAATAATATGACTTTATTAGACAAGCAATATATTTTTTAAAGAAAACAATTCTATTCATTTCTTCTCAATGACAATTTCTGAGATTTATCCCCAACTTAAAATAAAGTCTCAAGGAACTATCTAGACGATGGTTTTTAAACAAATGCTTCTTTTTGGAGGATGCAGATCATATGGCCGCATGCACATTGTGAGTTACAATCTGTGAGTATAATTTTCAGGAGAACGTTATGATTTAAAAGTGAGAAATTCCTTTTGGGGCTGGGTATCAAAAAGGTCCCATGCAGTCAGTTGGATAAGAAAAAGGTTTAAAGAAAAAAACAGAGAGTGTCACCTCCATGGCCAAGCCTTTGTAGCTACTGTTTCAGCAAACATGGACAAATCACAGCATATGAATATAACTTCTTTCCAGGACAGTTTCAAAGAATATTGTGCTAGAATATTAGAGGAAATTAAAGCCTTAGGAATCCCTTCTCAGAATTACACTTTGCTTCTTTGTCATCTTTGAGTCATTTGTGGTTTAATTTTTGCTTCAGAGCAGAATTGAAATCTAGAAAAAGAACACAAGCACATGGCTTGTCAAAGCAAAAGGTTTGGCATAACTTCTCACTTTTTGCCCATAAAATAAATCTTTACTCTGAAAAAGAAGAATGAATGACATACCTCTTTTATAACTGTTTAAACCATCAGATGTCAAATCTACAGTATGAGCATGCCACAGTCAACTCGTGTCTGAAAAATAGCTTTCTTTTTCAGATAAGCAAAATAATAACTTTCCAAATGAATTAAGTAAATTGGATTCTATTACATTAAAATATGTTTTCCCACTATAAAGGAATTAGCCTAGAAACACAGCTTGTTGTCAGAAAAGTGAGATGGGTTATGTTTCAGTCAGCTTAGCGTTCTTCAAAAGCAGAAATCTATGGCCACATCATGCTTTTTAAGTGTTAGAAGCATTGCAAATAAGATGCCAATTTATTAATCATCTAGGACCTCATTTAAGACATATCATTCAACTATACAATGTCTAAAATCAATAGAATTTATGTAGCTGCGTCTAGCAGCACTGTTTACTTTAAATTATAAATCTTCCAGGTTTATTGTATAGAGACACAATTTTAATAATTATTTCATTACAATGAAAGGCTTATAATAGTATTGTAAATGCATACTCCTAGGGTAAAATAGTTGACAAAAATAAGAACATAAGGAGAAAATGATGATATATATGCATGTGTATAATATACTTTTATAGCTTAAATCCAGAATTTACACTTCATTGGAAAGCTTTAAACTATTATCCTCTCTGGGAATAGGGTGAACTCCATAGGTCTTGCTTACAAGTAAACTTGAATAGCTACAAACGATTATTCCAGCATACATACTTTTTCATAATATTTCTCAAAGCCCTTTGACTTGTTTTACTGTGGATTCTTTTGCTCTATTCCTTTCAAGGGTGCCATCTCCTGGTTTTTCATATGAACTTCAGATCAGTTTCTAAAATCCTACACTAATTTTACCTCAGTGAAAGAAGAAAAATAAAATATACTGTTTAGTATGACAATGACAATTATATATCATCAAATTAAGTTACAAGCCTGTGGCAAGCTTGGGTCATTCTCCTAGCTGCACCCTGCACCGTTTATTTTCTTTGCATCCATGTAAAAATAGCTACACTGGCCACAAAAACACACAATGTCAGTAGCCATTTTAATTTCCCAGAATACCTCCAGTGTAGCTTTACTCCAGGATTCTGAGAGAATGGCTGCCTGCATTCGCTCAGCAATGTAACTAAGAAGGCACTTATTCTGGATCTCTAAAACTGCCGTGGAAACAATTAATGGACATTAGATCTGACTAAATGCATCAACACTTATTTTCTTCTACTTCTCTGTTTTGCAATCTCTTCTTCACCTCTTTTCATTCAAACACAAATCTTTGAGCAACAATAAGCATTTGCTTTCCTCTTCTGACACTGAAGCAGATTTTGGCTATCAGCATATTTGGGGAAAATATATTTGGTTAAAAGATTCTATCATTCTTAATGTCATCAGTTTAAAGATAAGCATATAATGAACTGAGGCAGGGCTCTTCAGTAACTGAGAGGAAAGGAAATGTTCATATTTTTATCCCTTGTAATTAAGCTACCCTTAATTTCTAGATCAATGACTAACATGGAATGCTCAATTTTTCAGCAAGTCAATTAAGTTTTCAGACAGCGCCACAAAATATGTGCTGATGGTGCAAATGAAGTAGCCACCAGCCACATACCAGCGGCTCTTAATTGTCCTTTGTGGGAAATAAGAAAGGGAATTTTCTTTGTGGCAACATTGAACCAAACCAGAAATGAACTTGGTATGGTATCATGACTAATCCCAGGTCTATACTTGTAGTGACTCATCAATCTGAATGCAAGCCACCCAAGTCTTAAGAAGTTTTATTTTGTTGCCTGTCTGAAATAGAAAAACAAGGATTCTGAAATTATGCAGCAAATCTATGAAGATTACATGAAACAACTTTGCACTATATCCGATGGTTAAATCTTACATTTGGTTCTATCAACACAAATTTTCAGTGTTCCCAAATTTCTCCTCTATGATCCTTTAGTTTATGGAGCTGTGGCCTTTTCCATGGAAACCATGTGGTCCCACTGATAATGTTGAATGCCTGTTATAGTAGTCTTTCTACAAAACTACAGAGTCTTTCCCAATACAGTGGGAAAAGACTGTGTGAGGCAGGTGTTCTTAGCATCATCCATGGAAAATAAATGAGCTCGTTGTAGTTCCACCCAGTCCAGTCTGGTCCATCCTGCTGCCCTCCTGATAGGATGAGATTATAAACCCCCAAATTCTAGACAGTCCAGCATCATTGGCAATTGCAGCTCCAACACATTTGGATGCTGCCACATTAGAGAAAGTTGGTGTACTCTATCACTACAAAGCCTTGGGCCTAATCACAGCCCCCTTAAACAAAAGCAGAATTCTTATTTGTTAGATCTCTATCTTGTATTTCCTTCAGGAGTTCAAGGCAGCGTATCTAGCATTCTTTCCTCTCAGATTATCTGCGTAAAACCTGATGGGTAGGTCAAGATGAATCATTGGCCCAAAGTCAGACAAAGGATTTCCACAGGGTGGATTTAAAGATGGGTGTCATTAATCCCAATATAACATTTAATCACTACATCATACTGGCACTCTTCTTTCCCAATACCAATGATAGAATACAGTGTTATTTTGTACTCTATTGCAAACTGTTAACAATAAAATTCAATCCGTGTAGAAGCAGAACCAACACAGGGGTGCCTGAATGGGACCCACACAAATGAATCAAGGGGCTGCTGTTAGCAACAAGGCAGAGGATTGTCCAGGCGAGTCAGCTGACTGAATCAATTTGTAATATGTTTTCCTTTAACTCTGTCCTTCACTATGTCTTTTTAAAATAATATAGAAAATCGTATTTAAATCTATTTTGTTTTCAGTTGAAAAGTACATTGGCGTTTCCCTAAAGTTCATATATATTTGTGAATCTGAACACTGGAATCACATCTATCAGAATTCACAATGCTTAGATACCCTCAGCAATTTAATTTGTGGGGTGAGAGATTCCGTACTGTTCTCTCTTCCTATTTTTCCAACAAGAATACCCCTGTGAAGTAAGCTGGACTGAGAGAAAGTCAGTGGTCCAAAGTCACCCTTTAAGCTTCCATGGCTGAGGGTTGTGTTTTAAACCTAGGTCTCCAGCTCCTACTTCAATATCTTAACCACTATTCCCTATTGGCCATGAACTGCCTGTGTTTTTTCCATAACTACAGAAGACTAACCAAACTAAGTACTGTTTATTAGTGATTCAGCAGATTTCATCAGGCAGCCATGTTCACCTTTGATAATGTTTAAAAGATGCTACATCCGTGGCTGTATTTCTTCCAAGGTTTTAGGAAGAAAGTCATTCCCATCGCTGCTACCTTGCCCTCTTTGGCAGATTTGCAGCCATTATTAAAATTAAGCCAAGCACCTTCAGAAAGTAAAGTATGTGCTCCACCCCTGAATTCTAAATCCTTTTCTGATTGTCCTTTTTTAAGCTAGTCAAATACATTTATCAACTATCGTCACTTAACCACCGCTAACGTTCTTTTGCTTGCCTTTTCGGAAAAGCAGTTATTTCTAATGGAGATTTGGTGCACCCTAGTGGTTATATAAAGGCATTGCAAGTATATTATTGCCTGAGCCCAGAAAATTATCAGCCGTCTCTTTTCCAAGCATTCGTGGGGCAATCACAGGCGGTTTCTCTTAAATTTGGTGGATAACAGGATGGTATTTTATTCACATATTCCTCCAGTATCACAGTTGTCTGGATCCAGATTTAGTCACTGTTAAAGATGCCCTCTGAAAAGAATGGGAGTTAATATTGACCATTTCGTTCATTTGATTTCAATGAAGCCAATCTAAGTATGATTAAAGCAGGAATAAATTTATTAAATTTATATGATATATCCATGAAATTACACCACACTAAATCATCTAGTCCATATTTCTGAAGGAGTCTGTAAATCACTAAGTCACAATTTCTATTCAGTCTGTCTCTGGATCACATTTACTCACTAATTTCTCCCTCAAAAGTAGAGACAGACGTGATTTTTTTACTGTTGGCCATAGAAATGTATCTTCATGTTTTCACATGAATCTAAAGAGTACACATATCATCAACATCATGAATAACTTCCTATGAGGGCCATGCTCAGTGCTTTCCCCAGAAAATGATTGTGTTTAAAATTATAGTCACAAGTGAAATTTACAAGAAAAAAATGAGCAATAGACTCCAATCTCGCCTACACAAAGAGGATCACGCTCAGTCTGTAACTTGTAGAAATACTTCCATTTTCTTGAGAAAAAAAAAATGTCAGGGAGGTTTTTTTTAAAGATGCCTTTTCTCAACCAACCATGATAGGAGAGCTCAAATTTGGGATTAGATTGATCTTCCTGGGCCAAAGGTGAAGCATTTCATTTCTATATAATGAAGAAGTAGAATTGTATTGTGGTGCAAGATATTTTCTTTTCTTTCTCTTTAAACCTCCCTAATACTGCAGGGCAGTAGTGGGTTTCAATTTTCTTCGCTACTGGTTCGCTATTGGGAGCGTGCAAGCGCATGTGCGTGCTTCGCAAGCACGCGGGGCTTCTGTGCATGTGCAGAGCATTTTTGATGACATCCGAGCAGGTGGGCAGAGCCTCCCACCGCTACTGGTTTGCCCAAACCGGGGCAAACCGGTAGCAACCCACCACTGCTACAAGAAGGTGGGGTGGGTTTTTTTCAGATTTCTGAATATTCACCTGTGAGAATTTAAGTAAATTAATTCAACAATTATGGCATTCACTTAATGACCATGGTGACTTGCTTAATAATTGCTATGAAAAAAATTGTAAAATTGAATCAGTCACATGATTATCTGCTTAACGATCAACACAATTGATTACCGTAATTCTGGGCAGTTATGGTTGCAAGTTGAGGACTACCTATAATAATCGCTAAAGGGCTGCCAAGGAATAACCTATTGAATGCAAACAAATCCCACAAAGAAAAACATATAAATAAATAAACAGAGAGCCCATTGGATGTAGCGGTTAAAGCATCAGGCTAGAAACCAGGAGACCATGAGGTTTAATCCTACCCTGGGGACAAAGTCATCTGTGTGACCTTGGGCCACTCTCTTTCTCAGCCCTAGGAAGGACATAAGAGCAAATGACTTCTGAAAAACATTGCCATGAAAATGTCCAGACAATCAAAGGCATAATAAATAAGACTGACTCAAAGGACTATTTGGCATTGGTTAGGCCTATTGCAATCTGATGTAGCTTAGCCAAAGTTTTTTCCTTCCTTTCTGGCCCACATTGCAAATATCAAAAACAATCTCCTCTTTTTCTCTTAATTTGCTCATAAAACAGCAGTAGTACAAATCATTTTAGCAACTTGCTTAAAATAAGTGTCAGCCTCATACTTCCCTCATCTAGGAATCAAGAAAAGAATGGGCTTTTATCCAATAAATAGAACCCTGATATTGATTCCAACAGAAATAGATTTTTTTTTCAAATATCTATGTGTTTTTTAAAAAATCCAGATGAAGAGATCCATTGATCATGAGCCCAATATTACTGTGATAAGCAATACCTTTTATAATAGAACTACTATTTAACTGATAATTTGTCTAGAGTGCATGGTGACTAAAAGAGGAATTTTAAGATGATAATTTAAAACATAATCCAGTTGGATTAATTCTCCATCAAATAAAATAGCCTTGACATGTTTTGCTTCTTTCTTCCTCTTAAGTTATATAATTCAAAAACTCTAGTTTTGCCTCTCTCCTGTTAAGCAAATTCCAGGCCCTGTTCCAATTCACAATGCTGCTTTTAGAGATGTTTATTGCATATCCTGCCAACTACATCAAGAAAAATATGTCATCCATGTATGCTTACAGGTGCTCACTGTCCCCTTTATTGCCAAATCATTTCCTGCAAGGACTTGGGCACCATACTCTTCCCCTTGTTAGGTTTTTTTCATAATCTGCGGCAGGGTGAAATGCTTCCGGTTCAGACGGGATCGGGTGATCTGGTAGCGATGGCAGCAGGTAGTTCAGAGAACCAGTAGCAAAAACCCCTGGGCCCACCACCCATGCCCACCCAATTGCCTGGTTCCCACTTGCCCACTTGGCAGCTTGCTGCTTCTTTCGGGCTCGCTCGCTTTTCCTGCCTTGCTTAGGCTGCTGCAATCAATTGCATCAGCTAGCAACTCAATCTGCCTGCCTGCAATCAATCAATCCAATCGGTGAGCAACTCAATCTGCCTGCCTTGTGCCTTCAATTTGTTAAGTAAAGGGTTTTTTTTCTTTTTGGGGAGCTTTAAAAAAATAGTTAATTGGGGGGGTTTTAGGAGTTTTATTTTATTTTTTTAGACATAGCAATTTAAAGTTAAGGAAGTTTTAAATTTAGCTGCTTTTATCTAAAAATATAAATAAAATAAAATAATAAAATAAAATATTTGTGCAGCTTTCTGAGATTTGGTGTGTTTCTGTAGTGTTTCACACTAACTACACAAACACACAAAATCTCACAAAGCTTTATGTGGCATTTTGTCTGGAAAACATGTGAAAGTTGGTTTTTGAGCTTTTTGTGCCTCTGTGAGGTTCCTGCTTGTTGCAGGGGCCATTTTGGGTGAAGTGCAGATGCTTTTACATTGTGTGTGAGTCATGTTGTGTTGTGTGTGTGTGTAAAGTTGATTTTTGGCACCTCTTATTGTTTTGTGTACTTTGTTTATTATTTTTATTATTTATTATTATTGGCCATGCCCACCTGGTTACATGACCACCAAGCCACGCCCACCCGGTCACCTGACCACCAAGCCATGCCTGCCAATTAAGCCACACCCACAGAACCGGTAGGGAAATTTTTTAGATTTTACCCCTGATCTGCAGACAACTGGAAGATGGTAGATGCAGAGTCTAGCACTACAGTAAGTATGTTAATATGGGAACATTAATATGGGAATAAACATTCACATATTCAACGTGAAAAGTTTCCTTTGGGATATGTAAAAACAAAATAACTAAAGAGCAACAATAAAATTTACTGGCTTATGAAATGAAACTCTATACTTCTACACTATATTTACTCTCACTTACCTATAAACAATATCAAGCCCTCTACACTGGGCTGATCAGACACTAACTGAGGTAGAATCAGCTGTATCTCACCAGCCCTTTTGGAAACCATCATCCTGGCCGTATCACCAGTGATTTTTCCACTCTGCCTTTGTGCCTGCATTGTATTACTTTCTAACATGGGGTTTTATCCCATCCAATCCTCAGAAATTAAAACCTAACAGCTTTCTCAAGTCAGGCTTGCCTTCAGGTAGTGCATAGAATGCCTATGCTGTTGACTTGGTAACAATGCAAGTTACTGGTTCTTTCTGAGATAATTTTTTATTTCTTTCCAAGTCAAGTTTACAGCCAAGTAATTTCCTGGTTGTCTCCCTGCTTTTTCATGATCAACCAAATCAGCCCAAGAGGGCAACAGAGATGGGAGGTCTATCCTTAACATTTAGATGGAATCTATAAGTTGTGGTGTTCTTTGTAATGTTGTAAGATCATTATTGCTGTTTCTTACATGTTTAGAGTTATTTTGAAGCTAAATCATTTATCCTTGAGAAGGTGTGAGTTCTCACTTGTTTATCTTTAGGAAACATGCACATGCTAAGAATTTCTAATAAGAAATGATATATTTTTAAAAAATCTAGGCTTCTCTATCCTTTATAAAGCAAACCCTCAATTACTTTAGCCTTAAAGCTAGAATTCCCCTTCCCCATAGGATTATATAATTCTGCTAAGAAACATTGAAATCTCAGAGAGCTTTTTCATTTGGAGAAAATAATTGTACTAATTCATCAAATAGTTTGGGGAATATTTTATCTTCATCCAAGAGTTGTTTTTAACATAAGTCTTATTAGGCAAACTTATATCCTTCTACATATCACTCCTGTAGTTTAGGGTAGACTCCTCTTGAACTGTTGGACATTCAATCCAAGGTACTCATTATTAGACTTACAGGTAGCTATGTCATTCTAATAATGGGAAGTAGCTACACATATGAGCTAAAAGCCATGAGTTCCTTTTAGGCAATTCCTGTATAGACACACAATCATTAAGGCCCATCTTTAGAAGTTGTAGATTATTTGGATTTATAAATGAAGATCCATTTATTATAACATGTATAAATTTAACTTCACACACACACACACACACACACAAGATAGGTTGGAACTAGATATTTCACCAAGCTCTTTCTGGATGTTCTACATGAAGAATGTTCTATATGAAATAATAAATAAAGATGCTTTTTCTTTCTATTTACAATATTCTTCTTTGTTAAAAACAGCATCAAATAAATAAGGAGCTTTCTCAAAGTAAGGGAAACTAGAGTAATCACCATAGGTCATTTATTTGTTTCCTTTCTAATTGTCTTCTTAAGATAACAAACAAGTTAAGAGGGTTGAATATTTAACCATCTGTTTGAATTAGAATCAAACTAAAGCAGTTTTCTTCAAACTGGCACTCTCCAAACATCTTGAAAATGGATACATCATGAGAAACAATAATATAGTCAGCTGCCAGCCAAAGAATGTTGTATTTAATTTTAACTTCTACCTTCGTTTCATCATTTTTTCCTGCAGAGGGCTGCCGATGCTAGAGGGAAAAAAGGGAGAAAACTCAAAATAATCACTTTGCAGATTTGCCATATCTAGGAAGAAAAAAGAGGCCTTTATAGTGAGTGAATAGTATGCTAATTATTCACAGGCAGTACTGCTTCAGAAAAACCCAATAGATTTGTTCAAAACAATAACTATGCCTGTTGTTTCTGAAGCTATACCTTTATTAAACCATACAATCCAAAGGTTTTGGGGGGCACTTCAAGGAAACATGTAATGGAATAAGCATTAGATTTCTTGTATCTTAAATTCCTAGTACAGGTGTCCTGCGTGAGCAGGGGGTTGGACTAGATGACCTCCAAGGTCCCTTCCAACTCTGTTAATGTTACCAAATGCAGCCATTACTGAATGTTGTTCCATTTCCGGCATAACCTGTGCTCTGGCCCTCTTTGATCTTGAGCAGGCACCGGTTCTTTTCACTTACTACTGCTGATCCTACTGAGTGAGTCGGAAACAGATTAAAGTTTAGAAGAGTAGCTGGCAAGGTGGGTTGTAGTCTTTCAGTGTTCTACCCTGCCTTTAGGCCTTCACCAAAAGCATTTTAGTTGTGCCTAAGAATGCTGATTTATCTTTTGGTTTATCGTGCTTGCTTTATTCCATAATTGCAGTAGTTCTGTTTCTGCACCGTACCATTTTCCCCTTGTCTTTTTCACTTGCAGAAAACTAATCCCCATCTCTCTCACAGCCACATTTTCGCTTGGATCACAGTTCCAGTTAGGTTGCTTTTCATCTCAAATATACAAAACCCCTTGAATTGTGCTTGCAATCTGAGGATTACATAGGGAAATCCATGGGATTTACTATGGCAACCATTCATAAAGAGTTTGTCATTGCCTTCCCCCTGGGATTTTCTTGACATCCCAGTTTAGCCTGATGCCCTGGGATTTCCCCCTGTGACTTTCCATCAACCAGTTGCTTTCTCAGTAAGGAAGCTTACTTATTGTTTCCTTTGGATGTTGTATAGTTCTGGCCTCAAGCACAGAAGAACTTTCAACACATATATCCAGTAACAGAATACAAATTAAGGCAAGATTGTCCCTTTATCCCCAGTATAATTGCCAATCATATCACAAAGCCCACAAGTAATAACTTGCCTTGTTTATCTATTCTACATTGCTCCTCTCCCTTCTTCCCTCCCTCCCTCCCCCCCCCTCTCTCCATTTTCACTAATTAAATAGCCTGTCTCATATATCTGGCAAAGTTAGCACCAGATCATGAAAATTACCATAATAATTTTTATTAGAATTGTCTATGATACAGGCTCTAAGATGAAAAAGCATATCTGCATTCCAGCTGATGCAAGAGGAAGAGGCTATTGATAGTTGTCAGGAAGGCAATATATCCACCTTAAGGTTTCAATTCTCTCGAGAAAATTGCCATTGCAATTTTTTTTTAATCCTGCCTTTATTATTTTTATAAATAACTCAAGGAGACAAACATAGCTTCCTCCTCCTATTTTCCCCACAACAACAACAACCCTGTGAGGTGAGTGGGGCTGAGAGGAAGTGACTGGTCCAAAATTACCCAGCCGGATTTCATGCTTAAGTCAGGACAAGAACTCACAGTCTCCAGGTTTCTAGCATGGTCTCTTAATCATCATCTTTTAACGAACCCATCATCCCTTGCGGGGTGGAGTCTGGGCAACTGAATGGAGCATGGTCTCTTAATCAAATGACCAAACTGGTCTTTTAGTGTATTAATTAGCAAATATTATTTATAGGATGAATTGTCAGTATGTTTTTCAATAAACTGAACACATTCAATGTATTTTTCTTTCCTGAACATTGTGTTGATATCTCCAACCATTAAGCAAGTTATATACTAAAACAACATTGAGACACCTTTAAAAAAATAACAGCTAATATACGAACAATAAGAATACACCATTGTGTATTTATTATATTGAAATTTCCTGTTCACTCTATCAGTACAATTATTCTCCATATACTCGAAATCCATAGATACATGTGTAGTTTGGATGATGCCAATTAGTCAAGATCTTCAAGAGCATATATTTAAATTTATCTAAAGATGCTCCCTGAAAATAAAATAAAAGGATCAGGAACTGTGGAACACAAATATCAAAGTTACTAACCACCATCTATGCAATGTAGATCTTTGCAATTCTGCTTCTCTTCCCCACTCTAGTATATTAAGTTAAAATACATTAGCAAAGTGACATGGAAGTGGCTTAAATACAACAATTGGAAAAAATTTCCTACCAGCTTTTCAAGGAAGATTTGATAAGAGTTAGTAATATGACCATCTTAATCAGTTTTCTTTTGTTAGTTTGGATTTGAGTAAAAAATGACATCCAACTCTGGAGACATATCAAAGCCAGGTTGTAATTCATATACTCATGCTAAAAGAGAGAGAACGAATCAATTTCTTTTAGAATGTATCTGGATCTAAATCTGTAAAATTATATTGTTAGACGTGACTTTAAGTCTTGATGACCAGTGAACTCAAGCCTTAAAGAGGATAGATCTTTATATGTACAATATACCTACCCAGAGGTATTTCATAGACTAAGAATGGTGTGGTACAAATTTGATAAAAATTATGGCCATCCAATCCTCTGGCCAGTATGGAAGTTTGAGCGGTCACCACGAAAAAAGATGCTGAGACTCTAGAAAGAGTGCAGAGAAGAGCAACAAAGATGATTAGGGGACTGGAAGCTTAAATGTGTGAAGAACAGTTGCAGGAACTGGGTATGTCTAGTCCAATATTTGAGAGGTTGTCACAGAAAGGAAATGGTTGACCTATTCTCCAAAGCACCTGAAGGCAGGCAGGAAGTAATAAATGGAAACTTGTCAAGAGGAGATACAACCTAGAACTAAGGAGAAATTTCCTAACAGTGAGAACAGTTAACCAGTGGAATGTCTTGCCTTCAGAAGTTGTGGGTGCTCCATCACTGGAGATTTGAAGAAGAGATTGGAAAGCCATTTGCCTAGAATGTTATAGGGGTCTTCTGCTTAGGCAGGGGGTTCAACTAGAAGACCTCCAAGGTCCCTTCCAACTCTGTGGTTCTGTATTCTTTGGATTTGATTTCCTAGATCATTTTATGCTTCTGTCATTCGTGATATTTAAAATTATTGATGAATAAGCAGGTTGAGCCTATGACTCAGTAGAGATTTAAGTACCAAATCAGGTTTCTAAATAATTTAGAAATTATAAACCTCAAACTCAACTCAGCCTTTTCTCTCTTTAAAACTGCAGTCTGTCTCCTTTGGTCCCTTTTACAGACCCATTCAGGAAACATAATATTTCACCATTGCAATGTTTCCTCAGTTTTCCTTTTCAGAATAGACCCAAGTGATATGCTCTAATCTTTTTAATGCTAAACGTTAGCTTCCTAGAAAAAGTTTTTAGCCTGTAAAATCTGTTCTATGAATGCTCATTTGTCATGTCCAAAATACAGATATTGCCTTAAACAAAATCCATGGTGATTTTCTACTATTCTCAAAATGTTATAGTAAACAAGGTACACACAAACAGAAGATCTTAGAGGACTCTGCTAGCATTTCTGAGTGTTTGTAAATAATCCATGAATCTGGGTTTACTTACACTATATATTTTCTGAATATAATACTATAAGCAATCTAATTTTGCTGAGAGGATGTAGAGTCCTGAACAACTAAAAATATATTTTATATTGAGATGTCATATTTATTTCATTGGCTAAATCATTTTGTTTTGTTTTATTTGTTTGTTACAAATTTGTGTATTAGTTGTATTATATTTTTAATATATGCTGTTATATATTTGAAAGAGCATCTTCAGTAAGATGTAAATGCCTGCTAAGTTAAATGGATAATAACATTTTGACTTTTTTAACTTTTCAATTTTCCAGACTAGCTAACTGCCAGAATAAAGAGTTGCTTGTCAATTAAGTATAAATGTATAGTGATTTGCAATCTAAATTTAAACTATCTACAAATGGTATTTTTGAAATGTTGGTAATATTCTTCTAAATCAATACCAGCCTCATAAAAGAGTGCAGTGATTGTAGCTTTTACCCAGACATTTATAAAAATGACATTACACAAATGTGTGATAAAATGATTGTAAGACTCATTCTCAAATTTCTTTGGTTGTAGCTTTTACCCCTCTATATTCTGCAACCTACCTCTAATTTAAATGTTTGCAAAGGAAATCTATCCACTTTGTAGACAAATGATCCCAAAAATTGTCCTTCTTCCTTCTCAAAATCATTTTTGAATCCCTGAGAAAAGGCAAAAAAGAAAAGGTAGTGCAGAATCTAAGCAGCAGCATCTGTTAAAATTGACAATATGACAGACAGAGGCTCACAATGCACCTCTTGCCTCTTCTGAATGTGTATTCAAAAGGGTCAGAGTTTGCTTCCTGACAGCCTGACACTCTTCTTTGACCTCCCATGTGGATACCCCTGAATCCAAACTCTATATGAAAAAGCAAAGACTTATTAGCTAAGCACTCATGCACTCTTAAAATGGCTCTATATATGTAGGCAGACATATAAAGAAGGACGGAGGAGGAGAGAGGCTTGCATTCAGATATGTGTTGTGTAAGCTGGAGATAATTTTAAGAACACTAAGGTTAGGAGTAGAACTTTTGAGACTGGTGTTGTGTGAAAGAAAGTACAAGTAGTCCTTGACTTACAACCACAATTGAGCCCAAAGTTTCTGGTGCTAAGCAAGAAATTTGGCCCTTTTTACCACCTTTCCTGCCACAGTTGTTAAGTGAATCACTGCAGTTAAGTTAGTAACACAGTTGTTAAGCAAATCTGGCTTCGCCATTGACTTTGCTTGTCAGAAAGGTGATCACATGACCCTGGGACACTGCAACCATCATAAAAATAAGTGTCTGAATTTTGATCATGTGACCCTGGGGATTCTGCAAGGCTCATAAGTGTGAAAAACAGTCATAAGTCACTTTTTTCAGTGCCATTGTAATCTCAAACAAAGTTACTAAACAAATTCTTGTAAGTCAAGAACTACCTCTTGACTTACTAAACTAAAGTTTATGTAAAGATACATTTTAAGTTTTGGATGGCGATAGGAAAACCTAAGTGGTTTATATTTATGTACAGCTATTACAGAGAGAGTTAGTGAGTTAGGTAAGACCATCAACTACATTGTTCAGAGCCAGAAGAGAAAAATAAAGTGAATTGAGAAAGGAAGTGATGAAAGCCGTGAGAAAATCAGTCTCATTAATAGAAGGTTTACTACACAGAATCATGTTTTTTAAATAAGGAGATAAAAGTTCCTCTGGTAATTATATCTTGAACTATTGCCCCTCAAGGGCAATAGATTAACAGCCACTGTATGCACCATTGAATTCCAACAATATAGACTGGTATGAGACCATTTCTCTACCCAGGAAAGAGGAAACTTTCTAATAAATATAAATACTCACATAGACAGAAAAATTCTGTGGCGCACTAGTTATCTCTTCTGTATGAGAAACTGTCTTTGAAATATGTTCCAGGGCTACTGAAGTCGGACAGACAGCTTGAGACAATTTGATGACTACATAACCTTGAGATCCCTTCATGGCCCAGCAATTCCCAGGGGTATTATCCCGCTGAAAAACCAAACAGTCTATGACTATCAAAAAGCAGTAAAAGCAGGTCTTTTGATTTCTGAAAACTGTGTTTTGGTATTAACTAATTTTACAATCAAGTAATTATTGATTTTTATAATCAAGTCATTATTGATTAAGCCACCTAAAGCCAACGTCACAGTATTAGATCACGACTAAATTGATTGAACTTATTCAACTGTAATTCAGAAATTTCAAGGGAAGATTTGCAAAACTGATTTCAACGGAGCATAAATTCAAGTAATTTAATCCATCTTAAACTAAGTAGACATTTTAAGGATTTTTCATTGATTTTACCGAATATATATATATATATTATATTTATTGGAAACTGCCTCCAGATGGAAATTCTGCATATCTACTCAGAAGTAAGTCTATTTAGCAGAATTTAGCACCAGCAAGGATGCTTAGGAGAAAAAAAGTGAAAGGGGAAAGGGGGGAGGGGGAGGGAGGGAGGGAGGAAGGAAGGAAGGAAGGAAGGAAGGAAGGAAGGAAGGAAGGAAGGAAGGAAGGAAGGAAGGAAGGAAGGTTTTCACATGCATGCATAGAAATTAATACAGGGACAGGTACTCAAAGATATAAAGAAAAGATCTGTGTTCTTTAGAGAAGGATGTGCATTCACAAAAAAGAATGGAGCATAGTTTTGAATAATGCAAGACCAGATGTGGGATGAGGTACTAACTGTCCCAGTTTTTCTTGATACTATTATGTATTTTATAATGGGATCCCATGCAGCAAAATTTAAAGGCATGAGTCCTACCACCTTGAGATAAATAATGATTAGAAAATGAGTGGATCAACCTATTGACACTTGTGCCCAAAAGGTGCATACAGCTGTTAGCTCAGACTCCATAAATCTGATTCATTAATTTTATATCACTCAGCAATGTTTTATCTGACAATTGCCAGTTGGAGACATGTGAACTAGACTTCTTCTAGGTAGTGGAGAGAAACGCAATCAAAATCTTTCAGGGAGGTGGAAGAGAAAATATTATTATTAAGGAACCCTTCCTACCTCTAAAATCATATTTGGTGACCGCATATAATCCCAGCAGAACCCCAACATACAGACTTGTGCTCTTGTGTTAAAGCTGTTGCTGAATTTCACGACATGGGCACCTACAGTACATAAAAGAGGGAAGATTTCTCATCAAGAATTAAAAGGAGTCACAAAGACTGAACCAAAAAAGGGATGCTAATCAGAGCAAGCCAATTAAGCTAAAAGTAAAGTATTGAACCTATGTATTAGAGCTTCAAGTGGTTTCAAATATGTATTGGTTCCCATATTTCATACTTTTCCACCCATAACATGAATCTATTGATCTGTTCCCTGCCGAATGACAATCCAGTCCCAATAGTGGGACAACATAACTAATTGCATGATGTCATTTCTGAGGGTGAGGGGTGTGTGTGGTAGGATTAAATTCATATTTTATCCTTCTGCCAAAACAGAACAAATGAGAAAATGCTATTGCAGTCATGCAAACGGAGCTTTAGAAAGAACACATGTTTTTGCCTATTTTTAAAGGTCCGATCCATGCTCCCATTATGCAGATTCTTGCCTCTCTCAATTTCTACACTTTAATCACAATGACATGGTGGTTACAAAAAAGGGACATAAATTGCAGAATTTGGGAAGCAGCAGATAGCTTTTAATGGGTTCCCTGGGATTCGTTCTGCAAACCAGTTGAAAATTTCCCCAAATATATTTGTAGAAAGATAAAGTTCCCCAGAGAGGGTCAATACTAACATTATTTTATATTTTATTTTATATTTTTGTGAGGGGAACACTTGTGGTGGTACCTGAAGGAGCAACCAAAGTCAATCAGTTATAGCCAGTGGTGAAATCCATTTTTTTTTACTACTGGTTCTGTGGGCGTGGCTTGGTGGGCATGGCAGGGGAAGGATACTGCAAAATCTCCATTCCCACCCCACTCCAGGGGAAGGATACTGCAAAATCCCTATTCCCGCCCCACTCTGGGGCCAGCCAGAGGTGGTATTTGCCAGTTCTCCGAACTGCTCAAAATTTCTGCTACCTGTTCTCCAGAACCTGTCAGAACCTGCTGGATTTCACTCCTGGTTATAGCCAAGTTTAAAATAACTGCAAGTCAGCACTGAGTTATTCACAAAATGAGCAAACACTGATTGGCCAGTGGGTCTTTTTTAAGCTCTAGACTCATCATAGACAAATATGTTTGCCTCATGTAGATCTGTAAGAAGATCTTGCTCTATAATAGATCTGTAAGAAGTTAATACATCCTCTTTTTTGCTGTATGTTTTCTAGGTCAGTTGGAAGTTGCTGTGAAACACAAAGCCAGTATGGTGTAGTGGTTAAAACATTGGACTAGCATGAAGGAGACCCACTTTCTAGCCCATCATCTGCCACGGAGGTTCATTAGATGACTTGGAACCAGCCATCTTCTCTCATCTCAGATTACTTGAAAGGGTTCTTATTATTGGGGGGGGGGAGGGAGGGAGCCCTGTGTAAGGCAGACGTGACTCTTACAAAGAAATAGTAAATGCATATTGTAAAGCAAATTCCATAAGATTAAAGGCAACAAATGGCAGGATAGTTGTTCTCAGTCGGATGACCTTCAAGCATGTTGCTTCACAACTCCCATCATCCATTAAATACCATCTGGCATGTTCGTTTATCATGACAGGTGGGTGTTGTGATCTACCATCACTGAAGAGTAGCAGATTGATAAAGATGTCTTTAGAACATAATAGAGACAGAGGGCACTATATTATTAAGTAAGCCAAAGCCTACGGAAATGAGTTTGGGACTAGAGAGATTCACATAGATAATTCTTTCCCCAGCCCCTACATACATATACACAGAGTCACCAAAGGTGCCCAAGTTACCTGTTGTTTCCTGTCACTCTGCTCTCTCCAGCCAAAGACTTCTATTTCTACCTGCTTGTTCTCTGACACTGTGCAATTTCTCTCCCATTCCCCACTCCCAATTTATGTACAATTCCTTACAAGTTTTCAGTGCCCCAACTGCAAGACAAACTTGTTCTGAGGCTGCCTGTCTTTCTGAAAAAGACAGAAAAGGTTAGAAGGGTGCATTACAGAAACATTGTTGAATGTTCAGCTTACCTTCAGAGCTTAGTGCGTAGTCTTTCTTCCAAAAATGGCTGCTTTCATTTTGCGTGCTGCTCCCTTGCTCAAATATATGCTGTTGTGGAATGGGAAGGGAGGACAAATAGGAGAAAGGTCACTCTGCTGGATCACATTTTGTGGGGGTTAGGGAAGGGGATGGGAACTCAACTTGGGACCTAATCTAATAATGGGAAGGGAATCTGCTGTCCCTTTAGGCCAGCTCCCGACAGCTTTAGCTAGCATAACTGGGTTTGTGTTATGTTATAGCCCTAAATGGGGGAGGAGCAATCCAGTTCAGTGGTGGGTTGCTTCCGGTTCGGTCTGGTTCTTGTGAACCAGTAATTATGGCAGAGGAGGCTCCACCCACCCTCCCCAACGTCATCACTGATGATCTGCACATGCACAGAAGCTTTTGTGCATGCGCAGAAGCGTGCATGCGCGCTCCCATTGCAAACCAGTAGTAAAGGTAAGTGGAACCCACCCCTTATCCAGTTGTCTATATATTATGTTCTATTGCCATAGATCTGGAAATACTCACTCCACAAAAGAATCATAAGAAGATATAGATTCGAGTAATATTTATGTATACAAGTAAACACACAGACATATGCTAATTTAGATAATAACAATGCTTCTAGAAAATGCCATAATGAGGAAAACATGGCCAAAGCATTTATGGGCCTGCTTAATTCTGCTACCAAAGTGCTGATGCTTTGCAGGACAAATTCAAGCTTCTTCTTTGCTTCTTTCATAGAAAGAAGCATCTTTCATTTTTTCCACTTTTAAATCAAACATGTACCTTCCTATACATGATGCTTTCAAACAGATGAATATCTATCCAGAGGCCAGGCTAATTCTGTAAGCCCATCCATCATAACTGTGGGGAAGACAGTTTGAAATGCAAACTGTTGATATGTCAATTGAAAAAAGAACATAACAAAATAAAAACCTGAACCAAAACAAGACAAAGAAAACAAACCCTGGAGCATGAGAACTGATTTGCTCAAGCATCTGAAAGATTACAAAACAGTAAAAGAAGGAAGGTTTAGGATTATATAGAGTGCATGATTGGTACTGGCTAGATATCATATGATTTCATATAGGAAGTCCTTAGAAATGGTAGGATTTCTATTGATGTTCCTGATGGAGGGGAATCTGATAAAATATCATATTTATAAATATCAGTTTATCAAGGTCTGATAAAAATAGTGTATCATATTGATTTATGCTGGTACATTTTTTATGTATGAACTAAATCAATTATTTCAGTGATTGCTAGGCCTGAAAAACAGTGAAAAACAATATTGGGCAGAAGCATGATTGTATTACTACTAAAAGCAAAAATGTATTTGGCAAATTACATAAACTAACCTTCTGGGTCTCCCAATGTCCATGGATATTTTCAAGGGCATCTACGAGAGTCTGGAGTCCTACAACTTTTTGACGGAAAGATCCAATCTGTTTGTGGAGATGCTGCTGAAGGGCCTCATTCTGGCGACTAGGCAGAAAAGAGCAAAGACACTCAAAGTAAGTTATCTATCACACTAGGCTACATTAAACCTAGACCAATTGTGGAGTGAGGCTGTTGCTTGGAGTTACACTTCAGACTCCAAAGGAAAGATTGCATGTCTGCTTGGAAACAGAATCATTTTTTTTCTGAGGGAGGGAGGGAAGGTCATGTAGAATATTAGGTTTTAATTTCAATTCTCTGATACTCAGGTTTTACCCAACAGTGTGTGTGATATGTGCATCTGTGTTTGTGTGTATATAGCTGCTCACCATCTGAGCTGGATCAAAACACTAGTTGGGGCAAGGAAATTTAAACAAAATTGCTCCTGCTTTATTGTATCTGCACCATAGTCATGATCCAGGCAGAAATGTCTGTTCCTGTTATTCTGGTTATATGGATCATAAGCAAACCTACCATTAAAAATCATAAGCACAATTGCTAAGAGTAGCTGCTGCTGAAAAACTGAATGTTCTTAGATTTAGAAGAACACCACCAGAGGTGGCATGGATATTTGTGGTACAAGAAAGTCAAGGTTATCATTATGTTAGACATGCCACATTGAGAATATAGAATAGATACCAACCCAGATTGTGCCTGAAAACACCTTTGTGGCTGTCAGTACAAAAAGCATTTTATAAATGAGGAATAATAGGCCAACACAAATGGCTAACCTATCATAAATTATTAGAATTTTGTCAAGGAAAATGTAAAATAAAATCAAGAGAAGAACAGGTGGCAGAGAATATAGTTTGCAAAGTCTCCTTATTTATAGTTATCTGAAAGATTTAAAGTAGACAAAAGAATTTGTGGTTTTGAATATTGTAAGACTCAAATAGAATTGTATACAAATGATGAAAATATAACTGCTAAAATGTATAAACATTAAATGAAGTGTGAAACAGAAGAACAAGTAAAAGAACATGTGATAAAGTGGGCTAAAAATTTTGGTTATAGTGTACAGATGGAACAATGGAAAATAAGTGGTTGAAAGGATTGAAATTTACACTGTTGTACACTTAAAAGATATTTTATAAAATTATAACCACAATTGCATGTATGAAAACATCATGACCAATGTCATGATGTTTTCATATATGAGCTAAGGGTTTATTGATTGGCATATTGCTCTATGTAGGACAAACTTATACCAGATAATACACCTGAAATCATTCTATTTAAAAATTACATTTATTCCTAAATTCCAAAAATATGAACTTCATCAAAGATTGATAGTATATATTGTACATTCCCTGCTGAGCACTCAATTTCCTACAACTTTCTGATATTTTGTTGAGAAAACATTTAGGGCTTCTTCCACAAAGCAAAAGAAACCTGTTTGTACTTCTGATTTTTTTCATTCCTAACAAAAAGAGGTCACTGTTAAAATATTATTTTATTCTATGTAGAATCTGCCACACATAAGAGACTCATTCATTTCTCTTTCATCTCTAATTTAGCAAGCCTGCTGTTGACGATATCCAGAACATTATGACGTCTATATCTCATTCAGAGACCTGAAAAATATCTATAACAGGAGAACTTTTTTTAAAAAAATAGAAAATAAATCACCAGCACTGGAAGGCTACTATCAGTAAAAATCATCTTTTTTTTTAAGCTTAAGAAAAACTTAAAGTCAGCCCACATTCCATTAAGTTCAAAATCACCTAGAGTTACAGCAGCTTTGCTGGGCAGGAATTTTGGGAATTCCAGACAAGTGAAAAAGTGGAAGAGATCAGACTGGGAAAAACTGAGAAACAGATTCTGATCTTTCCCTCTGCTAACTCTTCTACATGGATAGGATAGCTTTATTAAATACATTTATAGGGGGTAGGGTTCCTCTTCACTATTTTTTTTCTTTCATCACTTTTCTTTCACCATTTAAAAAAAGATTTTGGCTGAGGCTGAATGATTAAGCGTTCCAATTAGCATGTTTCCAAATCTTTATGGGCAGTTCATTAATTAAAAACATCTTTTTACCTTAATTGCATCTTCATGATCTGCTTGAAAATATCAGAAGTGCAAAGGCCAGACATAAAACCTAGAAGGAAACATGAATTTCATTAAGCCCCTATTCAGAATTATTCAGTAGAACATTATGTCACTTAACAGCTGCAAATATGACATGTTTTGAGTTCTATTTCAAATGAGATACAGGTAGTCCTTGACTTACGACCACAAATGAGCCCAAAATTTCCATTACTAAGCAAGACAGTTAAGTGAGTTTTGCGCCATTTTATGACCTAAAGAAGATTGAAGTCAATTTCCTTTCTATTTTCTTATGGTTGGGTAGAAGAAAGCAGTCTTTAATAAGAGAGCTAGGAACAGATTGACAATATTATTGGGCATAATTAACTTTTAATGGGAATTCCTTGGAAGAAAGACTCAGCCAGTGAGTTTGCTAAAGTATCTCCCCTCCTGGCTTTTAACAAATATCACAAAACTGAATTCAGTTGCTTGTATTCTATAGAGAAACATCCAGAAAATGAAGTAGGTATGTGTGTCTGTGACTTCTCAAGATCTCAAAGGCTTCCTGATGTACAGCGGAGATAGATATGGTCAGCCATAGGGCATACATACAGTACACAATACACACACACACACACACACACATCATCATCATCATAATCTTAGCCATTGACTATCCACTGCAGGATGAAGGTCTGTTATATACTGTGTTTCTCTGAAAATACGACCTACCCCAAAAGGAAGTCCTAGTTTGATTTTTACACATGCGCCCAATGTAAGTCCTACCCCCAAAATAAGCCCTAATTAAGACCCTGTCCACTCCAGGGTGCACCGGTAAAAATTAAGCTGGGGTGGGGGTGGGTGAGGTGGAGCTGCCCTACTCATACCTTCGGACAGTTGCAGCCAGGTCTCACATACCCTGACACCTGCCTTGCCGGACCATTTCTTCTGCAGCTGGCAAGGCCTGCAAGGCTTTTCTAAAGGCCTCTGCAGCTAATAACAGAGCTCCGGATCGATCTGCAGAGGCCTTCAGGAAAGCCTTGCCGGCCTCAGAAGAAGTTCCTGAAGGCCTCTGACAGCAGAAAGGAGGCCGGGGGCAACGCATGCACACATGCAGGTGAGATGAGTCAGTGGATTCCACCCCTCCCTGAAAATAAGACCTGGTGCCTTTTTTGGTGGGAAAAAATATATAAGACAGGGTCTTATTTTTGGGAAACTTGGTGTGTGTTATAGCCATATAGCCATATATATGGAGATATGGAGATATAGATATAGATATAGCTACACACACACACATCTTTATATATATATATGCCACTCTCTTTTTGGGTAAGCAATGCCTTGCAAGGTATGGAAAAGGTGTAAGACAAAGTGAGCAAAAGAAATTTTTAAAAATGGGTAAAAAAAGAAATAGCTAAAAATAGCTTTAAAAAGAAACTAGCTAAAACTAGTTTCTCTCAACTCTATTGACTGCATCTCTCAATTAGTTTCTCATGTTAGAAACTGTCCTTGCTTCCACCAAATCCATATACTATTTTTGTACATGTTCTGTTCTTTGATCTCTTCATCAATCTCTGAGGATCTCCTGAGCTCTCTTCAACTCTCAATTTATTCATGCATACTTTGTGACTCAGTCCTCATTCACGCTCTCTATATCATCAATTCACCTCAATACACATACTTCATTTTTATTCATTCTTATTCAGCACATGTTCGCCCTGGCCATAGTCCTACTGTACTGGGCATTTTAGGGCCCATTGGCCACATCTGACCCTTTAGCTGTCTCAGTCCAGCTTGTGTGAGATCAATTACAAAATTAGAAATCAAATGTAAATAAGTGCACTGCAGAGGGGGAGATAAGAAGCTGAGTCAGGTCCAGCTCTGCACAGTCACTATGTACTCCTTCAGTCAGCTGGAAGCTGTGGGAGAGACAGTGTTTTTCTGTGCCTACAGAGTGCTCGCCCCTTTCATTCAACTCACTTGTTGTCCTGCTCCAATTCATACACATACATACACACCAAGGAGAATTCAAGGGATTTTATTGATGCTTTCCAAGTCTTTCCAAGAGTCTTCTCCAGAAAATCCCCAGTCCAGTGACAAGGCTGACCACCACCCGCCCCCCAAAAAAAACAATTCCTAGCTCAGTTTCTGAATGACTCCAGCATAAATCCACAAAGCTGGGACAGTCCTCAAGGCAAGACAAAATAGAAGCAAGGCAAGGTACAAACACCACTGTCCGGGCTCTGGAGAAACAGGGTTCAAGCAAAGGCAAGTCCGGGAGGTATGTCCAAGAGTCAAGCATGAATTCAGGGTCTAAAATCCATGGTCAGAGTCAGGAAGTTCAACTAAGACACTGACAAGCTCTAGGCACCAAAATGGATGTGTTGTTCCCAGCGTCATTCCCCTCTTCCCACTGCGCTAAATAGCCGGTGCCCAGTGTAGTCCATCAAGAGGGGCAAGGCTGCCACTTTGCAAGTAGCCAGGCTGACCTCTGTTGTCTCTTCTCCACCTTGAGTGCTCTTCTTTCAGGTTAAGTAGTGCTGTCTGTTCACTAGCATAATAGCATAATAATAACACTAGCATAATAATCCTACCAGCAGACAAGGGAAACGCCACGGTGGTTATGAACACATCTGACTACCAAACCAAATTAACCAACCTACTCCAAGACTCCACATACAAACCCCTAAACACAAAACCCACCACCTACCTGGAAAAAACCACTAGATCCAAAATAAAAGCCTCCCCCATCAGTGAAGAGATCCAGCAAAGAATCATTCCCAGAGAGAAATCATCCAGATGCCCTAAGCTCTATGGTCTCCCCAAGATACACAAAGAAGGAACCCCACTTAGACCCATAGTCAGCTCCATAGGCTCACCTCTACAAAATCTAGCCAAATTTCTCGCCAAACAACTACAGCCCTATGCAGAATCCATCAACTCACATGTAAAAAACTCATTCCAGTTCATAGAGATAATAAAGAAACAAAACTTACAGCCCAGTGACCTACTCGTGAGCTTTGATGTCATATCCCTCTTCACCCAAGTGCCAATCAAAGAAGCCTTGACAGCTGTCCAAAACAAATATAACCCCCCCAAGCACATCCTAGATCTGACCAACCACTGCCTATCCAACACATACTTCATCTATAACGGACAAAAATACAAACAAATAGAAGGAGCACCCAGGATCACCCCTCTCACCTGTCATTGCAAACCTCTACATGGAACACTTTGAAACTCAAGCTCTAGAAAAATCTGATCACAAACCCAAACTCTGGCTCAGATATGTAGACAACACCTTCATAGTCTGGCCACATGGGAAAGAAAAACTGGACAACTTCCTCACACACCTCAACAGCCTACACCCCAAAATACAGTTCACCATGGAAACAGAAGCGAACAACCAACTTCCCTTCCTGGATGTCTTAGTCTACAAAAAATCCAATCTACCAGAAAAAAACACACATAAACCGCTATCTGCACGCACTCTCACACCACCACCCAGCACAGATCAACTCCGTAGCCAAGACACTCATCTCCAGAACAAAATGCTTAGCTGACGAACAACACCTAAAAACCGAACTACACACTCTCACTAATGTACTAACATCCAATGGATTCCAAAGAAATAAGATCACCAACCTAATCCAAAAAGAAACCCCCACTAAAATCCAAGACAGAGAACAAGAAAACGGCAAAGCCCTCCTCCCATACATAAAAGGCACCACAGACAGAATCAGCAAGATCCTCCACAAACACAACATCAAGACAGCATTCTGCACAAACCGAAAAATATCCACCATCCTAAGAAACCCCAAAGACAAAATTGAGTTAGAAAATCAAGGAGTATATGAAATCCCTTGCACCGCCTGCCCCACCACATACATCGGACAAACCAACAGAAGAATAAGTGCATGCATTGAAGAACACAAGAACTCAGTTAGAAAAGAGGAACCAACTTCTTCCCTGGTCCAACACCTCAAAGCCACAGGACATGATATTGACTTTAAAAAGACCAGAACTATCGCCAAAACTGAACACTTTAACAACAGAATAATCAGAGAAGCCATCGAGATAGAAAAACATCCACACAGCATGAATAAACGAGATGATACTTCCCGCCTGCCAGCCATTTGGAAACCCGCCCTTATTGACAAACGAGTCCCTAACACAAAGAATGACACCAGACCCACACTCACGAGAGCCACACAGGATGTAACCACCACACATCCACGCAGAAAGCAGACTCAAACCCACACTGATGATCAAGCACGACCACGGACCAGAAGCCAGACCACAGCTGCATCATTAGCCACTTTAAACCCCTCCAATCCATACATGAAACAGATTGACACCCAACATGAAGAGATGGCACGGCCACGAACATGAAGCCAAACAACAGCAACACAGCTCATCAGCTCAAATCCCCCTGCTACTCAGACTAATCCGAGCACAACCAAGCCCCCACCTAAACAGAACACACACCCAGCCAATCAGAGCACAGCCAACCCCCCTTCCAATCAGAGCACAGCCAAACCCCCAACCAATCAGAACACACCTCCACCCAATCAGAACACAGCCAAGCTCCCACCCAATCAGTTCACACCCCCACTGGCAGTTAAAAGGAAGAAACAGCTGCGATCACACACATTGCTCCTAGAAGCACGAAGCCGAGAACACCAGCCTGAAGATGACGAATGAGACTTTGTCGAAACGTTGCCAAGACACCTCCAATTTTACGCGGGAGAAAACTCGAATAACCAAAGACCTACATACAAACACCTGTGAAAACCTCAGAAAACAAATATATATATATATATGTATATATATGTATATATATGTATATATATGTATATATGTGTGTATATATGTGTGTATATATGTATATATGTATATATGTATATATGTATATATGTATATATATATATATTTTGTATTGATCAGGAACAGGAATATATATATATATATATTCCTGTTCCTGATCAATACACTTCTATTGTCACTGAAGTGTTCCTTACACATTTATCCATAGAGGGGCCTGGTGGCTCAGCAGACTGATAGCATTGTGATTAACACCAGCTGTCTGCAATTACTGTAAGTTCAAATCTCACCAGGCTCAAGGTTGACTCAGCCTTCCATCCTTTCTAAGGTAGGTAAATTGAGGACCCAATTTGTGGGGGGAATAATAAATATACAAAAGTATGAAGGCTATTGCTTAACGCATTGTAAGCCGCCCTGAGCCTCCGGAGAAGGGCGGCATATAAATCAAATTATATATATATATGAAATAAGCAACAGGCTGTCACACATTGTTATCAAAATAAAGGTCATGCTAGACTAGAGGAAGATTGGTAAGTAAACACTAGCTCAGCTTAGTTATACAGGTACAAGCAGGAAATAGCCTATCCCAACATAGAACCTGAATTATGCTTTCATTTCCAATGTTGGCTATCGCAGGGAGGAAGCTCAGACTAATGAAAGCAGCCTTGCAACATCATGGTGCAGCTATGTGTGCGCGCACTGTGATGTCAACATGCATGCCCAAAAGAGACAAAGCTTGCAGTACAATACTGCAACGCTGTTTTGGCCATTCTGATTCTGTTGCTATTGCTGTCTTTTTCCTTTCGTTCTGTGCAATCAGGTAAAGGAATCAACCAGAATTCAGTCTCACTTTTCTCCATTTTAGGATTATCATTTATTCCTAATTTGGTGTGATAAACAAGCTAGAGATCGTGATCTAAAATAAAACCTTGTTTCATTTCCAAACAAGCAAACTAGAAACCCAGGATTATTTAACTAGTTTCTTTAACAAACTATAATTCGTTTTAAATTACAGAGCCTCCTGTTTAATTCATAATAACAGGACAGGGATTGTGAAAGCATCATGAAGTTCTGGTTTATATCTCTTTCCAGTTATGGAGAAAGAGGAGAGGGAGGAAGAGTGCTTTAGGTGAATTCCTTTCCTTTCTAGGTCTGCATGGAATTGTTATTTATTATCCTGTGTAAATGCTGACAGAGCTAAGTTTATACATGACACAATACTCAGAGGATCAGGGATCTGGGTCATCAGGGTCATCTAACGCAAGATCTTGCTCAGTGCAACATCCACTGGAACATTTCTGATAGATGACCATTCCGCCTTTGTTTGAAGATTCCATCAAGCTTTGAAACCATTGTCTACAAATCCCAATGGCTGGTTTCGCGCAACATGCTAAGAGGTCAAACCAACTAAATCCCATGATTTCCAAATATGTTGGATGAACCAAACCCCCAAGTTATTCCATACTAAGATCTACCAGGCTTCCAAAATACAGTATATGTATAATGAATTCACCTGGTTATTTAAATAAAAACATCATGAAATTTCTTTAAGTGAGATTCTCTAGTACAGAGGAAAATTAGAAGAAGTCAATCCCATGCTCGGGATTGATTTTAAAACAGTCAACACAAGAAGCACCATTGAAGAGACAAGGTCCTCGAAGAGTTTCTCCTTTCCAGTAGTCTTAATGTCATCTACATTTTTCACATGCAGGGGGAAAAAATTTTTTTCTGAAATTGTCAACAAAACAAAAATGTATTTAGGCTAGCTTGTTAAAGCACTCACCCCAAAAGATGCCCACGATGAATATTAGTGTTATACAAGCCAACACCTTCACGAAAGGCCTCCAATGTTTCTCTGAGGAAAGGAAAGCAGAATGAAATGGAGCATTAATACAAAGTGAGGATTTGTTCTGTACTGTAAATGAAGATTACACACAACCAAAGGATACAAAGATTTACAGACAATAGATATGCAGCCCCCTGGATGAACTGCCTACCTCCCAACAACAATTGAAGAATTTGGAAATAAACAGGAAAGTCATTATCCTTGTTCTGACCTAGGCTTCCTGAGTCAGTAAAACACATGAGTAGTCCCAAAAACCTCTTTTATTGCAACAGCTGTGAATTCTGTTCAATCACAGATGAGTCCCAAATAGTTGTAAAGAGTCCTTTGGGATAAGGCTGATAATCACCCACCTTTATCTCCCTTGTGCCTTTGCTCCTCTTTTAAGTCTTATGAAAGGGGCCAATCATCTCCAAGCCCTACTCCCAAGTCGTCCCTTTTGTTTTAACTGTTCTTGCCTTCTGGCAGCTCTGCGCATGTGCACACTGGGAACAAGCTCCCCCTGTTCCTCTGCCTCGCTGAGGTCCAACTCTGGAGGCTCTGGAGGCAGCACGTACCTCCCAGATGGCCCTTTCTCTGCCTCCAACACAGGGCCCTCATCCGAGCCTTCCCCAGACTCCAGGACTGGCCCATGTTCCTTCCCAACCGCCTCACTGTCTGATTCTGCTGCCAGCTCTGCAGGCCGCTGGCAGACCACAACAATCCTACAGAAGTGGGAGGGGTGTGGTTTTTTTAAAGAACGTGTTTATTCCAATATAATTAGGAGCAATAGAGGTACTCTGAGGCTTAACCAGGTTAATTCTCACATGGCAGTAATCACCTTAATCCTGATAATCATTACCAGTTTATAGGTATTGCAGCTTTGAAATGTTTTTCAATAATCTGACTAATTTGTAGTTTTTGAATCTAATGATAAATCCACAAAAGAAGCTCCAGCAAATTAACTAGATGTGAAGAAATGCACGCCAGTTAGTGGGCATGAAAGGTTTGATAGGAAAAGGTTTCTGAACATGTGAGAATGCTCATATAACTCCTGAAAGTAGCACATTGCCCGGCTATTCTGCATAGCTGCTGCCCAACCCTGCAACGGATTTCAAAGCTTCCCTTAGAATCTGATGCACTGCACAGCCCTGCTAGTTAGATTTACTGCACATTCTTACACAAGCCAACTCCCACTATATTCATTGAGAATGAGGATAGGATTCCAGCCTCATGAAGTAAGCCTAGGCACATCTCGTCAGAGCTTCAATGAGATCTGTTTTCTAAGGAAGCACAAAATATAGCTAGACTAGTCCTTGACTCATGACAACAGTTGACCCCAAACATTCTGTTGCTAAGCGAGATATTTGTTAAGTCAGTCATGCCGCATTTTATGACTTTTCTTGCCACAGTTATAAAGTCAGTCACTGCAATTGTTAAGTTCATCATACAGTTGTAAATGAATCTGTTTCCCCATTGACTTTGCTTGTCAGGTCGCAAAAGGTGATCACATGACCTTGGGACACTGCAATCATCATATATATGAGTCAATTGTCAAGCAACTGAATTTTGACATGTGATCACAAGCATGCTGAAACGGTCATAAGTGTGAAAAATGGTCAAAAGTCACTTTTTTCAGTGCCATTGTAACTTCAAATGAACTTTTGTAAGTTGAGAACTACCTGTAAAGAAGTGAAGAGAGGTTTGCCGGAGAGAGTTCTTTGGCATCACAATAACTTCTTGATGCGGTGCTTTAAATGGTAATTTAATGAATTCCCCAATCTCACTGCATTTTCTATAATTAGCAAAGCATTACTAAAGGCGGTAGGGCTCTTACTTCTCACTTTAAGAAAACGATAAGACACTGAGCTTGTCGATTGAAAGGTTGGCAATTCAGTGGTTCGAATCCCTAGTGCCATGTAATGGGGTAAGCTCCCGTTACTTGTCCCAGCTTCTGCCATCCTAGCAGTTCGAAAGCACGTAAAAAATGCAAGTAGAAAAATAGGAACCACCTTTGGTGGGAAGGTAACAGCGTTCCGTGCACCTTTGGCGTTTAATCATGCCAGCCACATGACCACAGAGATGTCTTCGGACAGCGTTGGCTCTTCGGCTTTGAAACGGAGATGAGCACCGCCCCCTAGAGTCAGGAACGACTAGCACGTATGTGCAAGGGGAACCTTTACCTTTACCTTACTAAAGGCAGCAACCCAGCTCTTGAGCAGCTGCCAGTTCTCTAATCTCTTGGCAAATCCCATAAATGGCAGAGGCCATTTTCCCCAGGGCTCCAACAAACTCCTGTAAATTTAGAACCACCATTAAAATTCCTATCCAAGACTGATATTACATCAGGATTGCTCCAGAGCAATCTAGAGGAATGCAGGTTCTATTCATGGCACTGCTCACTGCCCATGTCCGCTAAGTATATTGGAAGTTGATAATAGATGGAGGTCCACCAAGAGGGCAACATGTTGAGATATCAGCCCCGATTGCAGTTCTAGGAATTTTGTGCCATGAGGAAAATGCTTCTAAGGGTACAGTCCTTTAGTTTAATTCATTACCTGTGGTCTAAATTCAGCAGAGCATAAATGTATGAGTAGAACTAGAGTCAGGTTCAAAAAAGACAAGTGATGCTTATTAAAGAAGCCACATACAATACTCCAAGAGAACGATTGAATGTTTGAGTTTTCTATTCTTATGATTGGGGAAAGGAGGAGAACACAGTTTTCTTCCTACAGAAACTAAACTAAAAGTGAAAACCTGAGTCTTCCAATGTAAGGAAAGCAAAGAAGAGGCAGTATGAGGAACAGAGAGGGAATCATTTCTGCTATCCTTATTGCTAATTACTCTAAAGTTGGCCAAAAAGATTAAAAGTGTGAAGAGATTATGCTTCTGGAGCATTGTGGAATATTATCTTTATCCCAGGAATATTTTGTTCCTTCTAAAGAAGAATTCTACTCTCTTCCCAGGTGATTTTTTCAGCCAAAGCTGTCTCTATCATTAGGTAGAATGAGGGCAATCACCTGCATGGGTTAATTTGGAATATAGATTTCATTTTATTTATTTTATTTTTATTAAATTTGTATACCACCCTTCTCCTGCTGGACTCAGGGCGGTGCACAGCCAAAAATAAAAAACATTCCAATACAAAATTTAATTTTTTTAAAAAGAATTACACAACTTTGGCCCAAAATTTAAAACATCCCAACTAAAACCCATAGACAATTAAAAATCTAACCTCTCAAAAGAGGGGGGGTGGGGGTTACGCCAGCCCTGCTTGGTGGAAAAGAAAAGTTTTTAGGGCACGGCGAAAAGCCCGGAGATCTGGTATCATGCGTATCTCCGGGGGCAAATCGTTCCAGAGGGCAGGTGCTGCCACAGAGAAGGCCCTCCCCCTGGGGGTCGCCAGTCAACACTGCCTGGTTGACGGCACCCTGAGGAGTCGCTCTCTGTGGGAGCGTACTGGCCAGTGGGAGGCTATCGGCAGCAGAAGGCGGTCCCGCAAATACCCAGGTCCTATGCCATGGAGCGCTTTAAAGGTGGTAACCAACACCTTGAAGCGCACCGGAAGACCACCGGAAGCCAATGCAGCTCACGCAGGAGAGGCGTCACATGAGAGCACCCCCTCGCTCCCATAATCCCCTGCGCAGCCACATTCTGCACCAGTTGGAGCCTCCAGGTGCTCCTCAAGGGGAGCCCCATGTAGACAGCATTGCAGTAGTCCAGGTGGGATGTGACAAGTGCCTGAGTGACTGTGTGTAAGGAGTCCCGATCCAGAAAGGGACGCAACTGGCAAATCGGCGAACCTGATGAAAAGCCCCCCTGGCCACGGCCGCCATATGCTCTTCTAAAGACAGCCGTGCATCCAGGAGGACGCCCAAGTTGCGAGCCCTCTCCATGGGGGCCAATAACTCGCCCCCAATAGCCAGCGATGGCACCAGCTGGCTATATCGGGATACCGGAAGCCACAGCCACTCGGTCTTGGAAGGGTTGAGTCGAAGCCTGTTACTCCCCATCCAGATCCGCACAGCCTCCAGGCACCGGGACATTTCTTCAAGGGCATCGTTGGGATGGCCTGGGGTAGAGATGTACAGCTGAGTATTGTCAGCATACTGATGGAACTCCACCCCAAAGCCACGGATGATCTTGCCCAGCGGCTTCACATAAATGTTGAACAGAAGGGGCGAGACGACTGACCCCTGCAGCACCCCACAAACAAGGCGCCTCGGGGTCGACCTCTGCCCCCTGCCAACACTGACTGCGTCCGGTCGGAGAGATAGGAGGAGAACCACCGCAGAATGGTGCCCCCCACTCCCAACCCCTCCAACCGGTGCAGCATGATACCATGGTCGATGGTATCAAAAGCCGCTGAGAGATCTAACAGGACCAGGATAGAGGAACAATCCCTATCCCGAGCCCTCCAGAGATCATCCACCAACGCGACCAATGCTGTTTCCGTGCTGTGCCAGGCCTGAAGCCGGACTGGAGCGGATCCAGATAGACAGCTTCATCCAGATACCCAGGAAGCTGTCGCGCCACCACACTCTCAACAACCTTCGCCACAAAGGGAAGGTTGGAGACCGGACAGTAGTTAGTCCTTGATTTACAAAGTGCATTTAGTGACCATTCAAAGTTACAAAATGTCAATGAAAAAAGTGAGTTAAGACCGTTTTTCACACTTACGACCGTTATAGCATCCCCATGGTCACGTGATCAAAATTCAGATGCTTGGCAATTGACTTATATTTATGACAGTTGCAGTGTCCAAAGGCCATGTGATCCCCTTTTGCAACCTTCCAACAAGCAGAGTCAATGGGGAAACCAGTTTCACTTAACAATCAAGTTATTAATTTACCAGCTGCAGTGATTCACTTAACAACTGTGGCAAGAAAAGTCGTAAAGTGGGTCAAAACTCACTTAACAAATGTTTCACTTAGCAACAGAATTTTTGGGCTCAGTTGTGGTCATAAGTCAGGTAGTCCAGGACTGTACAGGTAGTCCTCAACCTACAACAGTTCATTTAGTGACCATTTGAAATTAGAATGGCACTGAAAAAAGTGACTTATGAGAGTTTTTCACACTTATGACCATTGCAGCATCCCCATGCTCACATGTTCAAAATTTAGACGCTTCACAACTGACTCATGTGGTCAAGGAGTCATAAGATCGCCTTTGCAACCTTCTGGGAAGCAAAGTGAAATTTTATTTCAGTAAGCCGAGCTGGCTTAAAAATTTTTAATTGGTTAATTTTATGGGTAAGGGGTTTTAAATTGGGGGAAGCCAATATAGATTTAATTATGTTTTAAAGTATTTTAATATTTATATTATATGTTTTTTAATCCTGGCTGTTCACCGCCCCGAGTCCTGCGGGAGAGGGGCGGTATAAAAATTTAATAAATGAAATGAAATGAAATGAAATGAAATGAAATGAATGGAGAAGCCAGATTCATTTAACAAACCTTGTTACTAACTTAACAACTGCAGTGATGCACTTAATAATTGTAGCAAGAAAGGTCAAAAAATAGGACAAAATTCATTTAACAACTGCTTCTCTTGGCAACAGAAATTTTGGGCTTAACTGTGGTCATCAGTCAAGATTTGCATGTATTTCATAGGGCAGCTAGCTGTTTATTGCCTGAATTGTTATTAACTGAATTTTCTCCCACAAAGAGGAAGATGAAGTTTTAAATAGTTTTGAGCACACTTTGGTTGGGGAGAAAACAGTATTTCCCTCATTTCAAGCCGCCGGATATCTTGGGCCAATCCTTTTTTTAGAGATGCAAGGAAAATGTGTTCATGTCTAACATACCTAGAATAAGTGGCTGCTGAACCTGGTACACTGTGATGTTAGGAATAGGTTCCACCAAGCGGGGAGTTTCAAAACAATGCTGGATAATGAAAGAACTCTGATCCAACAGGTCTTTACCTATGGGAGACAAATGAACATGATTAACATTGATAAGGTACATTGCTTGCCAGCACAGCAACCAAGAAGGAAGAGTCAGAGATTAAAAGTCCTAGACCCGTTTCTGAAAACCATCAGCAATCACCATCCTGCAATGATGGAATGAAAGGTCTAACCCAGGAAACCTGTCTTCTGGTCACTTCTCAATAGAGGCATCCTATAATATTCTACTTGCTAATATTGTTACTGATTGATCAAGAGATTGTCTCTATGTACCTAGAAAAGAATATCTACAGAACACCAATGTCAAAAATCAGAATGGCAGCCATGTCATTCTGCCCTTTTATATATGTCACAACAGTCATTAAAAAGGCACAAGGGCTTCTATCACCCAGTCACCCAGTCACTGCCCTCTTCTTTACCTTTTTGACCCCTCCCCCTTATCCATGGATTTCCCTTTGCATAGAAACCTTCTGAAGGGCATGCTCTCCATTTCCTAATCTCCAAGCCTGGATTGACAGGCAGCTGTCTAGTGCACTCTTGATTTAGAGGGAACGTGCCTGCACTTTCATGCAGGATGAAAGATGGCCAAAACTGAGAATACTTCGCCAAATTCAGAAAGGTTGAAGCCAAAGGTTGACCTTCTCCCATCAAAATGAAGGGGATTTGCAGATGTTTAAATTTGTGCACAACAAGAGTTAATCAACCTTAAACGCACATAACAACATGAACACAGTGAAGTCACAATGGAAAGCTTACTCTTTTGTGCATGAGTCCCAATGTCAAACACAATAGTTTGAGTCATGGAATTGCACGTTTTGTTACTTGCAATTACCACCACCCCACCAGTGGTGGGTTTCGCCCGGTTCGGGCAAGCCGGTAGCAGCGATAGTGAGCTGAGAGCAAACCAGTTTGCTCCAACCGTCAGCTGGGCCCTCCCGCCTGCCCCTGCACTATACCTACCTATATTTGTTTGTTTTTAGCCCAGCTGATAGGCGCAGCAGAGCGTATTGCTGTGCCTCAGCTGTTCTGAAATGCAATACGCTTGCACAGAGCGCATGTTTGGCGCAAAGCACGTGCGCGAAGCGAACTGGTTGTTACACCAGTTGAAACCCACCACTGCACCCCACCTGTTCCCTTCCATAAATATCTCTGGTCAATCTTATACTTTTCCTGGTCCTTTGCAGGTGAACTGCATTGTAAATATACTTAGTCATTATTACAATATATCTTACATATATTTTCCCAGTGGAAAATCAGGATAAATTTTGAGCTGATCCTGAACACAAATACAACATTTCAGTGTTCAAAGAAGGCAGAATGATGCTCTTACTATTATGATCTTAGCTGAGGGATCTCAGCAAGGAGGGCTGGAAAGCCAGGTGAGAAGCCAGCGTTCCTCTCATCTGACTCCTCCTGGCTTTAGCGGCTGGCTGAGCTGTTTTCTTTTTGGCCTTGATGGAAGCCAGAAGATCTGCTTTCCACTGCTTCTGCATTGCTCTGATGGTGCTGACAAACTGCAGCTGGGAAGAGCTGTTCTATAAGCCCAAACCAAACTCATGTGAGAGGTGAAGTCCTGAGCACTTGGGTACAAAAGACCAAGGCATAGCCGCTGGCACAGCCACTGATGGACCAATTGCATCCATTGCTAGATCATATTGCCTTTAAACAGTGCTATAACCCCTGATAATTTTCAGCCTTGATTGGGTAACATGCTCTCCAAAGGGCCTCCTTTTATTCCCCTTGGAAACTTCAGATGGTACAAAATGTGGCAGCTGCTTTGGTCCCTGGAATAACGTATCCTGTAGGGACCATGTGATGCCAGTTTTGAAAAGTCTACACTAGTTGCCAATTTGTTTCTAAGTACAATAGGCTTACTATTTTTAATGTCTTAAAGTGCTTGGCCTGGAATCCGTGAGACATTTTTTCCAATGCCCACTCAGATCATCTGGAAGACTCCAATAATGTCAGCCATCCTGTTTGATCTCCAGGAGATGAACCTTACCCCACAGCTGCCCCACATACATGGAACCAGTGGTGAAATGCAAACTTTTTTGCTACCGATTCTGTGGGCGTGGCTTGGTGGGAGTGGGTGGGTGGGTGGGGGTCATGTGACTGGGTGGGCGTGGCCAACATTTTTTTACTTTTTACTTTTTTACTGATTGACAATCAACTGTGCCGCGCAATTGTCGGAACCTTTTTTTTTTTTACTTTTTTAAAGCATTTTTTTATTACCAGTTCGAGTGAACTGGAGCGAACCGGTAGCATTTCACCCCTGCATGGAACTCCCTTGCAAACGCAATCCAGGAACTACATCAATACTGCCCTTTAACAGGGCTCCAAAAATATTCCTGTCATTGCTATTTTTTTTTCCCAAAATGATATGTTAATTGTATTTTTAACATAAGATTGCATATTTATATTTGTCTGTAAGATTTTGGACATATTGTATGCTACTCAGGGATTTCAGAGATAAATGGTCTATAAATTATATCAGTAATTGAATGTATTTGTCTCTGCTTGACATTATTACAAATCCGGAGGTAGCTAGGAAAGAGAGCAACCAAGGCCTCGCTTCACTTGGTCAGTGAATACACTCACTACAGCAAGGCTGTGACGTGTCTTCAGATCTGCAGCTTTTTGTGTCCCAACTACTCTGGCTCCAGGCCTCCTGCCATGTTTTCTTCTCCGGCTCTTCTTCTAGAACAAGAGAACGGCGCTTCCTGCGAATTTTTTTGAAAATCCTGACAAGAAGAGAATATTCAGATCAATATTCATTAGAGAGCAGCCAGATGCTTCCCACTGTGCAATTCTGGGGCATGGCCACCAAGAGAAAGCTAGAGAAATTTTCAAAATTACTTTAAGTTGCATAAGTGAAGATTAAAAACATTAGTTGTCTGGTGCAATTTGACATCTAGCTTGAATCTTATGAGAAGCAAATCCAAGCTTTTACACTGGGAGAACTCCACACAACTCCAGTGTACAAAGTATTTTATTGTGGCTTCAAAAAGGAAGAGTATGTGGCAAGTATTCTAAATTATCTTAGCTAAGTATAAAGACCTGGAAATGAGAAGTATGAGGCCTTGGCTCATGGCAATCAGCCCAGGAAGATCCAACCTAATATATTTATTCTAGGGCTGCCCATCCAGAGAGAAGTCAGTGACAATGAGCTTTTGCAAAATATTGTATATAACTTTAATAAATCAGCAGTGTGAATTGATATGGGAAACATCCAGAAACTCTAGTAAAACTGTAGGTTTAATAATGGAAAATAAAAGGAAGGGGAGGAGAGGGAAAAGGAGAGAAGGGAAGCAATCCACCCAAAATTAAGGGGGGGGGGAAGCAGAAAATTCCAGGCTCAATAAAATGCATGAGCAGCCTTGTCCACCATATCTCATTACCCCCACTGCAGTCCTCATTTTCCCTAAAGGAAGTTATGCCATTCCAGGCCACCAAACCATTGCTCAATCCCACTGGTGAAATCCAAATTTTTTTAATACCGGTTCTGTGGGCGTGGCGTGGTGGGTGTGGTGTGGCTTGATGGGCGTGGCAGGGGAAGGATACTGCAAAATCTTCATTCCCACCCCACTCTGGGGCCAGCCAGAGGTGGTATTTGCCAGTTCTCCAAACTGCTCAAAATTTCCGCTACCAGTTCTCCAGAACCTGTCAGAAGCTGCTGAATTTCACCCCTGCTAAATCCTGCTCTGAAGAATTAAGAGAACCTGATTAGACTCCAGAAACTTTACAGAGATTGTGTTTGAAGCAATCTTCATTTCTGCTCCCCAGTTTCAAAGAATTCTTTCCATGGTATTTTGAAGGATTCGCTTAGGGGAACCATGAAGTAATAGTTACTTTCAAGAACTGAATTTATACAAAAGAAAAAAAATGTGCATTGGTTCTAAATATACTGAAATGAATTTTGCTAATCCAAAGCACCATGATATTCTTATACCGTGTTTCTCCAAAAATATGACTTACCCCAAAAATAAAGGGAGGTTTTTTTGGGGGTGGGCCTAATATCCAACCCCAAAAATAAGCCCTAGTGAAGGGGAGGGGCATGGCCAGCACAGGAGGCAGCCCTTCCCTTCGCCGGTCACCTCATGGCAGCTCCGGCCATCGGCAATAAATTAAAAGAACTCCCATGTACCTTTTCACTCCTGTTTCCCGGTATGAAATGGGTTTCAGCTTTTGGAGGATGGCCAGTCTTTCACTCCGTCGTTGCATTGGAATTCTCCCAAAGAACCTTAAAATATGATGTTCAATACCATCAACAGAATTCAATGTGCACATAACAATTTTGAGAAAGTTGATAAGGTACTACTTTTAACAAATGTATTTTGTATACGATGGACCAATGCAGCTGGTACAGAATTGATATAATAAAGTCCATCCAACTTGCCTCTACAAGGACAATTATGCAATACAGATTGTCCTCGACTTACAATAGTCCATTTACTGACCATTCAAAGTTACATGGCACTGAAAAAAGTGATTTATGATCAGTTTTTGCAGCATCCTTAATAATCATATGATTGCAGTGTCCTGGGATCACCTTATGTGAACTTCTGACAAGCAAAGTCAATGGGGAAGCTAGATTCACTTAACAGACATGTTAACAACTGAAGTGATTCACTTAACAACTATGGCAAGAAAGGTCATAAAATGGGGTAAATTACACTTAACAGCTATCTCACGTTTTTGGCTCAATTGTGGTCATAGGTTGGGGACTTCATATGGCAATATGTATAAGGTAAAGGTAAAGGTTCCCTTGCACATATGTGCTAGTCGTTCCCAACTCTAGGGGACAGTGCTCATCTCTGTTTCAAAGCCAAAGAGCCAGTGCTGTCCGAAGACGTCTCCATGGTCATGTGACCGGCATGACTAAATGCCAAAGGCGCACGGAACGCTGTTACCTTCCCACCAAAGATGGTCCCTATTTTTCTACTTGCATTTTTTATGTGGTTTTGAATTGCTAGGTTGGCAGAAGCTGGGACAAGTAATGGGAGCTCACCCCATTACTCAGCACTAGGGGTTCAAACCGCTGAACAGCCGACCTTTCGATCGACAAGCTCAGCGTCTTAGCCTCTGAGCCACCGTGTCCCTTATGTCTGTGGCAATGTATAAGTGAAGTTAAGCAGATTTTCCTAAGATAAGACTGTGGCTGAGTTAGCAATAAAACTGGTACAAGGCATTTCTGGCTCTTATCAACCCAACTAGATTTCCACAGCTGATACAGTACACTATCCAAAAGTCATCTTCCCAATATCATCTTCCTTTAGAAGGAACTGCGCCACCCGATCATAGCTGAATTCTTCTAAGCACTTCCTCAGACTCTCCAAGTACTTGTGTCATGCCTTGTTTGCTTTTTGCCTTTATCCAACTCTAAAAATTTCACTAAGGGACTGTTCCTCAACCTTCTATGATTAATCGTATAGTATAGTATACCCTTTATTGTCATTGTACATCATGTATATAACGAAATTTGTTTAGCTTCTCTGGTGCAATCAGTAATAACTACAAAACAAAGGGAGAGTTGGGCAGACTTTACTGCCTCTTTTAGCAATTCAGTGAGACTCTATTCCCACTCTAAAGCAAGTCCTCTGGAACTTCTAAACTCTGAAATTCAGTCTTGGCAAAAACACAGAGGCTAAAGGGCTACATGGATTAGCCTTTCTTTTCCTCCTGCCTTCAACCCACGCAAAGGCCTGCTTCTGCTGCCAAGAAGACTAATCTGCCACAGTTCTTCCCTTTATGTATTACGACATGTGGAATAATATTCCCCATTGCTTTCTGGCCCGTCAATCATGTATCTGTCCAATAAGGATACACGGAATGTTAAAAAAAAACAACAACAGAGTTCTACACCAACCTTACAGTGGCCTAATCCTGCTTCTCTTGATTTGGTAATATTTCTTGGAATGAATCACATTTTTAAGTGATATACTTCACCCCTTTTATGACCCAAAGGCCAAGGGATATTAATAAGGGAAATAAACTGCATGTATTTAAACTTCCCAGGACAAATAGCCTAAAACAGGATGACCTCATAAATGAATTCACTCAGATAACACTGCACAAGGTGTGAGGTCATGCATGAGGTTGCTGAATGTCTCTCAGATAGGAAATATTTCTTAATGTCCTTGGAAAAAAACCTCTTCTACTTTTGGCTCCCTTACAATTGATCACAGGGCTTCATTCCAAAGTTATTAATAATTGTATTTAATAGATTACTTCTATACACTTAATTTTCATTAATATCCTGCCCAGTTATTGAGATAGTTAACAACAAATAGTTAATTAAACATATGGCTAGGGATGCTTTGTCCAAGATCCTCTCACATACTTAGAAGTGTGCCTACACATAGGACTATTTCAATTCATCAGGAAGCTTTGTGTGGACATATTACTTAGTGGCGGTACCTCTTCGTGTTCTGTGAACATGTGGAAGGTCTCATGTCTTTCCTCTTTTATGTAGTATAAAAGCCAAATTCTTATAAAGTTTCTTCCCCCAGCTGTCATGGAAGGAAGGAGGAGGAGATATTAGTTAAATATAAAGCAGCTTTGAGAATAAGAGAGGATAATAGAAGAATTGGAGGACAGATTTCTACATAATAATAATTTTACATATAGTTTCCCTATCAAGCAAATATACTTATATAGCCAAATATACCTTTCTCTATTTTAAATTGCTCTCAGGATCATCACAATGCCCTTGGTGCTTCTGAAACAGCTTTCCAAAGAAAATATAACCAATGAAACAGCCACCTTCTCTATAACCAGGTGAAGACATATAACAATGAGGACTAGAACTTTGAGCCAAAACTGATAAATCTGACAGATGAAACCAATCCAAAACAAAGAATCTAACAATGAAATTCATAAGAGAAATACTGCAGGCCTAATCAGGAAAATAACAAAATTATAAGATTATGAAAGGAAAAAGACTCAAAAATACGTCTCATGACTTTGCTATACTGGCAACAGTATCAAAGTCAATTCCTTTTTCATTGTATTTTAGTGGTTTAAAAATGTCAGTAGAACTATTATCTCTACAGGGGTTCTTACAGCATGTCAGTGAATAATTTTCTGTGTAATAAAGCTTTTTAAACAATGCATTTTCAGACTATCACAGGTGGTATCAAAACTATAAATATTAAACTACTCTCTTTAATTATACTTCTGTTTCCAACAGCTGTGATTCAAGGTAATGAAAGTAGCAATATATAGGGAGAAAAAGAAATACCTTTAAAAATCTGCAATATTTTCCTCAAAGCCAGTTTCACATTTTAATTCTGGTATGCTTACTCAAGGTTTAGTGGCCTGAAACACTGAGATTTTGGCAGTTTAAGAAGAAACTCTCTTGCAGAGAGAGAGAGAGAATGCAAGGGAATATCAGTATTGATTTGGCTTCAAGAAAAAAAGAATCTGATCCTCATTCAGACCTAGAATCTTGACTCAACCTCACAAACCATTAAATGCAGCATGAAGGTGTTCTGTTAATTGTTATAAAAGGAGATGCCCTTTGATGTATCTTCTTAGACTCAGCTTACCATGAAAAAAGCTTAAACTTGGATGTTCTGGTGTTAGTGGTATTTTCCCTTGTTTTACAAACCCAAGTCTTAAACAAGTATATAAACCTATAATATTTCATTCATGAGCAAATTGGGGAAACAATTTTATAAGGAACTAAAAGGCAAAATAAACATATTAGTTGTATATCTGAATTGTGGACTGAAGAACTAGAATATCTGGGTCTGAGGGTTAAGAAATATAAAGTGCACTTCTTATGGGTTAAAAATGAAATTAATTCATCAGAAAATATTCTTAATACAATCTTAAACTTTATTCCTAAAATAGGTAATCAGTCAGCTTATGAAGAGCTTAAGTGTACATAAATGAAAATCCTTTTAGTGCCACGCCTTTTTTCCTTTTCTTGCTGCGCCTGTTAATTCAGTTATAGTTATTCCATTTTATTTCTTTTTTCTTTCCATCAATAAAGCTTCCAATAGACAGATTGAGTATCCCCAGAGTCAAAGCTCCTTATTTGTTGCCAAAGTAATCCAGTTAAAATAACAAGACACTTGGTTTCTCTTCCGAGCTGCTAACGATCCGCAATTATACTTTCACTTCTTCACAGTCTCCATTTTGTGTATTGCAAGGCTATCCGTTTGTCTTTTTCCTTTGTTTTAAAGAAGTCCTGTTTATCGCCTCTTTTCTTTTTCTCTCTTCCAAAAATAATCCATTCCCATTTTTAAAAAAAAAAGAAAAAAAGAACAGTTTTCAAAATTTATAACTTTCTAAAAAAGGCAATCATTCCAAATTAGCAATAAAATCCATAATCCTTCGATGAGTCTTTCCCTTTTAAAAGGTATTTTGCAAATCTTCTTGCCCCAATACACCGTAGCCGCTAATTAAGGCTGGGGCACACTTATCAATATCCACAGTTTAAAAAATTGAAAAAGAACAATTTTGGACAGATTGGTAAAAGATTTATAGTAGGTTGCAAGATAAGCAAAACAACATAGTGATTAAAATGGAAATGTAATGCTTAATGTATATTTGAAGTCTGAATATTGACATGAGGTATTATACCTTTTTTTTATTTCCCTTTGCTACCTCTTTGATTTTCTTTCTTTTCTTGATACTTTTTTCTTTTTTATTTCTACTTTCCCTCTTTTCTCCTTGTTTTTGTTTTCCTTTCCTTCTTTTTTTTCACCTTTTATCTCCATTCCTTTTAAATTGAACTATATAAATATATGTATTTGGTTATGAAATAAGACTATAAATGAATGAATGAGAATATGATTTTTTTAAATGTTCCAAACGCTTAAATGAATTTTTGAGATTTAAAATAAATATGAAATAGATGATCTTAAAATATACGAGAAGATATTTGTTAAAATTTATGCTGAGTTAAATTGTGGTATCTGAAAAAGCAATTTATGTAATATGTGAATTAGTTAAAATGAAATAGCTAATACAACAGATGTAGGCATGGAGGAAAATATGCTGGTAACACCAGCCAAATAAGAGAATGAGACTTGGAGGGGAATATGCTGGAAATCAGCCAAAACAAAACATGCTGGAAACCAGCCAAATAATAGTGGGAAGTTCAGA